GCTAACACCAAACAAAAGAAAGCTGAAGTAGTTATATTAACATAAAAATTGGGGCTTCCCTGGTGGCACAATAGTTAAGAATCTCCTGCCAATGCAGGGGACACGGGTTCGAGCCCTAGTCCAGGACGATCCCACATGCTGCGGAGCAACTAAGCCTGTGCGCCACAACTACCGAGCCTGCGCTCTAGAGCCTGCGAGCCACAACTACTGAGCCTGCATGCTGCAACTACTGAAGCCAGCGCTCCTAGAGCCTGTGCTCCACAACAAGAGAAGCCACCACAGTGAGAAGCCTGCGCACCCCAATGAAGAGTAGCCCCTGCTCCCTGAAACCAGAGAAAAGCCTGCACGCAGCAACAAAGACCCAACACAGCCAAAAATAAAATAAATAAATTTATTAAATAAATAAAATAAAAATTGACTTCAGAGCAAAGAATATTGCCAGGTACAAAAGGGGTCATTTCATAACAACAAAGGAATCAATTCATCTAAAGGACATAATGTTTATGCATCATGGTATGGTAGACCTATTTGTTGGGTGTGTAAAAAATAAAGATAATAAAGTGAACAATATTAAGACAAATTTTTAACCACTACATAGTGAATTTGATATTAAAAAATGTTCCCTCTCAGTGGTTAAGAAAAAATTATAAAATTAGTTGCCTGGAATCAGAAATAAATGTCCAAAACCAATTGTAATGATTTTTAACAGAATTTGAGTTTGTAACTTTGGCCAGCTTTAAAACAGCTTGGATTCTTACACTAAAAAGAAAAACAACTTAGATGGAAAGATGACAAAAGGAATTATTTCAGTTGTGGAAATCTGTTAGAAAATTATGAGGAAAATGCTATAAAAAAGATATTTTACAAAAAGTGAAAGATTTTTAAATTAAGCCTCAAAACAATTGCCCATAGAATACAAGGTCTTTCCAACGATACCAAAGATGAATGGATTTGAAATTTGACAATTCACAAGTACCTCTCTGTAGCTTTATTTGAGTCATGTGAGGCCCTACCCAGTTAATATTTTGAATACTTTTTGTATCAAAGGACATCCAAACCTATGAAGAAATGTTGCCAATTAGTGACCTAAAAGATTGAACTTGTGACACAGATCTTTTAAACCTTTGACATTTATCAAAGAAGAATTTCAGCTAAATATGGGAAAAAATAGTTTTTTTATTGATATCATGACAGACACTGTTCTACCTATGTTCAGGTTAAAACTCCAGATTTAATGGAGTTTCCCTTGCTTCATTCAATTGTGTGATACATATAAAATTTTGTGCTTAGTTTTTATAGCAGACTTTATGTAAAACATCATGGATGGGTACCATTGTTTAAATCACTCAGTGTATATGTGCAAATAATACAAATCATCACCATGTTATGGAACTGTTGAAAGAAATAGGTGATGAATTTAACGATGTGCTTTTGCCAATGCCCATTGGCCAAGTATGGGAAATTTTACAAAGAATTACTGTAATGTCAGCTGCAATTCAAGATTTTCTTAAACAAGAGGAATGTTTGTTGAATATTCAATAATCAAAGACCCAAAAATGTTAGTCTGTACTTATATTTCTCACTAATACACACCGTATAAGAATGAGCAAAATTTGAATAGTCAAAAGAAAGGAAAAGCTTATTTGTAACCTAGCTACCCAAGTATAAGAATTTACGTTGAAATCAAAACTTCATAATACGAATCAATAATAATAATTTTACAACTCTCCTAACATGAGTCAGTATGTCAAAGATTTTAATTTTAACTGGCCATGTTATATAATTGGTGGCAAAAAAAATCCAAGAAAAATTTGAAGAATGCTTTGCAATATTGATCAATTTAGAAATGCTTTTCAAATTATGCCATGCCTCTGAATTCGATGTTAGTAATATTGAGTCAACAACAAGAGTTAGTGAATTACTTAACTTGGAAAGACATAATTTCGAAACTGATAGTCTTTTGCTTCAAAATCAGATCAATTCTTCTAAAAAGATGAACTAGTTTTATCATTGACTTAAGGGAAAAGTAAATTTTGGTACTATATTCAGCTACTGGAAAACTTTCAAGTATATTTAGAACAACTTAGTAGGTGAATCTATTTTTTTCAACTGTGAATTTTATTAAATCTAAAGACAAATCAAGTATTTCTAATGAAAAGTTAGCATGTAAATTGAGATGTGCTGTAAAATATACACCAGATTTCAAAGACTTAATGTGGAAAAAAAGAATATAAAATATCCCAACAGTTTTTACATTGATCGTATATTATAATGTTAATATTTTGGCTTATTGGACATATTGGCTTAACTATTAATAAATTTATTTAAATTAATTCCACCTGTTTACTTTTTTAATGTGGCTACTGGAAAATTTTAATTTTTATAGCAAATGAAACAATCAACAAGATGAAAAAGCAACCTACAGAATGGGAGAAAATATTTGCAAACCATAAATCTGATAAGGGGTTAATATCCAAAATGTATAAGGAACTCATACAACTCAATAGCAAAAAAACCCAACCCAATTAAATATTAGGCAAAGGTCCTAAAAAGACATTTTTCCAAAGAAGACATACAAATGGTCAACAGGGATATGAAAAGATGCTCAACATCACTAATCACCAAGAAAATGTAAATCAAAATCACAATGAGATACCACCACACACCTGTTAGGATGGCTATTAACAAAAAAGTCAAAAGATAACAAGTGTCAGCAAATACGTGGAGAAAGGGGAATACCAGTACGCTGTTGATTGGAATGTAAATTGTTGCAGCCACTATGGAAAACAGCATGGAGTTTCCTCAAAACATTAAAAATGGAACTATCCTATGATCCAATAGTCCCACTTCTGGGGATACATCCAAAGAAAATAAAATCACTATCTCAACATGATATCTATACCCTCTTGTTTATTACAGCATTATGTACAGTAGCCAAGATACGGAAACAACCTAAGTGTCCATGGACAGATGAATGGATGCAAAAATGTGAAATCCTGCCATTTACAAAAACGCGGATGAACTTGGAGGACATTATGCTTAGTGAAATAAACCAGACACAGAAAGACAAATATTGCATGATCTCACTTACATGTGAAATCTTAAAAAAACAAAACGAACAAACAAAAACACTCCTAGTAACAGAGAGTAGAAGGGTGGTTATCAGGAGCAAAAGTGTGGAGAAAAAGGGGAGATACTAATCAAAGGGTACAAATTTCAGTTATAAGTTCTAGAGACTTAATGTGCAGCATGGTGACTATAGTCAATAATAATGTATTGTATACTTGAAATTTGCTAAGAGGGATCTCAAGCATTCTCACTACACACAAAAAAAATGGCAACTGAGGAATTAGCTTGATTATAGTAATTATTTCACAGTGTATACCTGTATCAAACATTACATTGTACACCTTAAATAGACAACTTTTATTTGTCAGTCATATCTCAATGAAGGTAGAAAAAAAATAACATCCGTGATTCACATTATATTTCTCTTGGACAGCACTGAACTAAACTAGGACACGGAATTCTGCTCAGGAGGCTGAGAACATAGACTTCTGACCAGCTGCAAGCCTCCTGCCTTGTGGTCAGACTGACTGCTTATTAGGAGAATCAAATGGGTTAATACACACAAAGTACATATACCTGCAAAGGGTATATCGTATCTTAATATAAATCAGGAATCAAGTCCATTCACCAAACTTCAAATTGATGTTTACTGTTTTTGTGACAATGTAAAGAACCGATAGTGGGTAAATTAGACACCATTAGCATATTATTATTTAATGTGTTTATCACTGGATTTTTTGCCTTCTTTAATCTGGTTAATTTTTTTTTTAAGGTTTTTTTGCCTGACTGTGTCAGGTCTTAGTTGTGGCACATGGGCTCTTCATTGCAGCACGTGGGCTTCTCTCTAGTTGTGGTGCACAGGCTCCAGAGTGTGTGGGCTCTGTAGTTTGCCGCACGCAGGCTCTCTAGTTGAGGCACACAGGCTCAGTAGTTGAGGCGCGCAGGCTTAGTTGCCCCGCGGCATGTGGGATCTTAGTTCCCTGACCAGGGATCAAACCTGCGTCCCCTGCCTTGGAAGGCGGATTCTTAACCACTGGACCACCAGAGAAGTCCCTGGTTAATATATTTAGATTAGTTTTTGTTTGTTTATCTGAAGGCTCTGTTTATAGTATTTTATGACACTGTTGTAAAATTCAACTATATCAATAAAAAACAAGTTCGGAAAGTAAAAAAAAGAAGTAGGTCTGGCACCTAGCAAGAGCTATATAACTGTTATCTATTATTATTGTTACTAGTATTATTGACCAAGATTTCTAACAACTCAGCAGAGAAGCACACCAAGGAGAGTAAGGCTTGGCCCAGACTGAAAATTCACACATCACCTATGAAAGATCAAAGTGCAGAAAACTGAGGAGCCTCTGTAACCAGTTGGTCCAACCAGGGCCATGATTAGGGTGAGGCAAGCGAGGCACTTTCCTTGGCGCAAAATTTAAGGGGAGAGGGCACCAAGGAAACTCAGGACTCGGGATACATAATATTCGAATGCAATAGTTTACTAAATCCAAATCAATGCCCCAAACCCACAATGCACAAAATTTCGAAATGACAAAGACAGGAGGGGTATTGCTGGTTTCTGACGCCTCAGGTTTCACGTGGTTCGTTCGTAAAGACACGGGTACTGATGCTGCCCCGGTAGCCTCGACTCAGACCCACGCCGCGACCAGCTCTCCGTCCAGGGCAAAGCGATTCCGACCGCCAAAAGGACGGCGTTGTGCTGGGACTGGCGGTGATGGCGGCGGCCTTCGTGCAGCGGAGCCCCGAAGGCGGGAACTGGGCCGCGCAAGGCCTGCCCGGAGCTCCCAGGCTGCCCCGGGGCTGTTCCCAGAGTTCCCCGCGGCCGCGCCCCTGGAGCCCCACGGAAGCCATTGCCGCTTCCCGGAAGCCCGCGGCGCTCGCCAGCCCGCGGCGCTCGCCCGCCCGGGCGCGCCCCCATGGGCTTCCCGTGGTATGGCTTCGCCTGGACTGCTCATGTCTTCACCGCCAGTAGTACCCTGGACGTCCTGGTGATAGTTTTGTACGGTGCTGGTCCTGGGCATCGCGCTGTGGGTACGTGGGGCCCGGGGGCTGGGGGGGTAGGCCTGGACACGAGATGGGTTCGATCCTCACCTGCCTGTCACCTGATCCCCACCTCACATCCCTCTCGTTCCCGCCCCTGCACAGCCCTCAGCCGGGACCGCTCCACCCTGCCTGCGCCACCTGCTCCCTACCGAGAGTAAGGGCACATCCAAGCCCATCTTCCCTCCCCACCCCACAAATAAACAGGTCAGGCTGCCAGGTGCCCACCGCCTGGAACCCAAGCCGTGTGTAATATGGGGTCGTTGTTCTGATCGATCGTCGTGATGGTGGTGGCAATAGTGACAATTACCCATCCTTAGGTGCTAAAGTGCCTGATCTGTGCTGAGTGCTTTAAGTGTGTCACATTCTCACAACCAGGCTGTGGATTACAGATGAGGAAACAGGTTCAAAGAGGTCAAGTAACCACAAGGGAATGATGGAGTGCAGATTCGAACCTAGAGTTGCCTGATCTGACGCATGAGCGTAACCACTGCCCAGCAAACAAGACCTCAAAGGTCACATGTAATTTAGGGCCCTAAGTGTTCACTTTGAATTTGAATTGGGCGCTTATATATTCTACTCTAGTATAACGTTCTCTTAGTGGGTGGCAACTGGATCTCCTTTACTACCATCTGCCCGCTAGCACTTAACCTGTAGGCACTCACAAAGGTGTATCGTAACTATACTCCCCAGGGCCAGGCAGTGAAAAGTCCGAGGGCAGGTAGAGAGACTTTGGCCTGTGTCATGGTATCGCCCCTCGGCTAAGCTGTTAACCATCAGAAGCCTCTCCTCGGCCTGCTTCATAAGCAGGAGTATCTGGTGACAGCGCCACCATTCGCTAGCTAGTGGGAGAGTTCATTGCGGGCTGCCCCCACCCAGCTGAGGCTTTCATGCCCATGTGACCTTTACTTCGGGGCGTTTCACCAGGTCACAAGCAGGATCTTACTGTGCAGAATCTGGTCCTTCAAACAAGATCACTGGACAGTCTTTTGAGTGCTTACCATGCTGTGAGTGGGCAGATAGAGTAATGGAAATATGGTCTCCATCCTCTTAAGAGAATTTCGTATCTCTCCCAACTGAAAAGAAGTCGGAGGTATTGATATTTATCCAGATCATTCAAACAAACGATTTTTTTCAAATTGGTCTCAGTTATGAGAAACATCCTTCTAGGTGGCCCAGGCCAGGCTCTGAGTAGTGGGCACTTTGGGATCCTTCCCCCAACTGCTCTCACTGAATTAGGAAGCCCCCACCCAACCTTCTTCCGTGTCTAGTTGGGGCCTAGGTGTGGCCAAGGTCTGAGGACCCGTAAGCCATCCAGCCGCTTCCAAAGGAAACCTACTGTTCCTTCTGTTCTTCTAGGAGCCATAAAACATGTGCTGTTATCCAGAATGCTTTGATCATTTTCCTTCTTTATATTGTTATTTTTCCTTTGGTCCTTTTTAAAACTCGTATATTGTTTTTAATCACATGCTCACTGTAAGAAGTGAGGAGATGCATAACTGTCTAGAGGAGTTATGGTTCCTCCCTCAGCCATTCCCATCCCTCTGAGGTACCCAGGGCCTGTGTGTCCCTCCTCCCTTCTCAGTGCTTACACAGACACATAGGTAAGGGTTTTGCGTTTTTGTCTTTACAAAAAATGTGATCGTATGATACACATTACCCTGCAGTTTGCGTTTTTCCGTTACTACATGATGTGGAGTCCTTCAGGTCTATAGATAGAGATCTAGCTCATGGTTTTTTGTTTTAAATAAATAAATTTATTTATTTATTTGTTTATTTTTGGCTGCATTGGATCCTCATTGCTGCACCCAGGCTTTTCTCTAGTTGTGGCGAGCAGGGGCTACTCTTTGTTGCAGTGCACGGGCTTCTCATTTCAGTGGCTTCTCGTTGCAGAGCACAGGCTCTAGGCATGTGGGCTTCAGTAGTTGTGGCACACGGGCTCAGTAGTTGTGGCTTGCGGGCTCTGGAGCTCAGGGTCAGTAGTTGTGGTGCACGGGCTTAGTTGCTCCGCAGCATGTGGAATCTTCCTGGACCGGGTCTCAAACCCATGTCCCCTGCATTGGCAGACGGATTCTTAACCACTGCACCACCAGGGAAGTCCTAGCTCATGTTTTTATTAGATACACAATAGTCAAACACGTGTGTGATTCAGCTCTTCCCTACTCATTGACACTTAGATTGCTGCCAGGTTGTTGTTTTTTAATAAGATTTTTAAAAATATATTTATTTATTTGTTTGTTTATTTTTGGCTGCATTGGGTCTTTGTTGCTGCTGTTGTTTTTAATGTGTTGGTGCTTTTAAGCTGTGTAGCATGGATTCCCGAAATTGGAATTTCTGGGTTGGAAGGGTGTGTTTACTTGAAATTTTAGCAGATATCACTAAATGGCAATCCCCAAAGCTTGTTGAGATTTACATTTCTCACAAGCAGCATATGAGCACATTCTTTCCCCAGGCCTTCACCAGCCTGGTTTGTTACTACTAATTTAATTTTTGTGGGGGGGTCCCAGGGTGATGAGTGAGTAGTGGTATGTTACTGCAGCTTTGATTTGCGCTTTCCAGACTCAGCCTCCTATGAAATTGACCGTATCCTTGTGAGCCTGTTGTCCTTTGATCTTCCTCTTCTGTTGAATAGCCAGTTTATGTGCCCATTTATGAAGTGGGTTGTTCGACTTTGCTTTTATCACCTTGTCTGTCATTTGAGTTGCCAATATGTTTTTCCTAAACTCTCATTTTCTAGAGCAGTTGTTCTCAACCTCAGCACCACTGACATTTGGGACCAGATAATTCCTTGTTGTGGGAGGTCTGTCCTGTGTATTATAGGATGCTTAGAAGTATCCCCAAGCCCTGCCCCTTCACAGCCAAAACTGCCTCCAGACATTGCCACATGTCCCTTGGAGGAGTGGGGCAAAAATCACCCCTGGTCGAGAGCCACTGGTCTAGACTCTGTTACTGTTGTCTCTCTGTCATCTGATTTGTTTTCACTTTGAAGAAGTCTACTGTCTCTCTTTTCCTTTGCATCTAGATTTCCTGGCTTGCTTAGGAAAGTTTTTACCCACTCCAACATTGTACAAATACTATTCTAAAATTTTTTCTGATATTTTATAGGTTTTAAAATATATTTAGGGAATTCCCTCATAGTCCAGTGGTTACGACTCCGCGCTTTCACTGCTGAGGGCCCGGGTTCAATCCCTGGTCAGGGAACTAAGATCCTGCAAGCTAAAAAGAAATTTAAATGTCCACATCTGGGATTTCCTTTTGCATATAATGTGATAAAGGAGTCTAGCTTTATTTTCTTTTGGTTCTTAAGCAAACCACCCTTTTCTCACTGAACAGAATTGCCCATGTTTGCACAGATGGGACTCCTGAAATCCTTCATCAGCTTCTGACCGCTGAGCCCCCACAAGGAAATCTTGTTCTTTGTTGCTGGTGCCTTGGCTCCTGCAGGATGTTAAAGGGGAAAAAACCTTACACTTTTGTTTGTTTGTTTCCTCTGTTATCAGTCTCAGCCCCAAGATCTTTGAGAAAGTGGTGGATGCACCTTCTGCCCCAGCAGCCTGGCTGCTGTGGCTGGTGGATTATTCCAGAAAGAGCAGGGAGGAAGGAGGAGGCAGGGACATGTGCATAACCACCCTCTTCCCAGGACCTCCTCTCTTCCTGTCTGGTTCTTTCTTTAATGGGAAGACAGAGTGATTTTATTCATCTTAGAACATTTTGTAAATTCCTTTTAAAAGTTCTAATGCACCTCTCCCTACATACCACTGATACCTTCCTTAAGAAAGGTCAGCTCTGAACATAATGGGCTCTTGATAAATATTTAGTTAATGGATGAAATGAGACTAACTTAATGTGTCTGATTTAGAGTTGTTCTTTGGTTTAAAGCTTTATGATGTGAAAGGACTCCATTATAAGGCAGATACCCCAGATGGTGGTAATAAGTTCACTTCTCCCACAGAAACACTTTTTTGTCAACCAGTGGTCATCCGTGGGTCCTGCTAGTCCTAGGCAATCCAGGAAATCCCCAGGAATATCTTTTGACCGTACTGGAGTCTGGGAATCAGAGCTGGGGTCCTGAGGAGAGAGCCCTTGGGTGCGTTGGGAGGACATCATAGTCTTGGCAACGTGACTGCTCTCCAGGAAAAAGCTAGGCTGGTGTTCAGCTTTGCCATTCCCAGTCAATTGATACATTCGCTGAGCCACTCATCTCCAAGACTCTGCTGGGAACCATGCACTGGTTAACTATTTGGGGAATAAATAAAGCAATATTATTTTCACACTAGTGTAGAGAAATGGACAGGCCCGTGTGACCTCATAGCTGGGAGAGACCGTGGGCCCTCCTCTAACTCAGCAGGTAGAGACCTCTGTTCCTAAAAAGAATGAAGGGGAAATGGGATCTCTGCAAAGGACATTTACCCATAAGTGAAGGTCATCTGTTTGTGAGACCTGTGTCTTTGAAGCAGTTTGGTTTCTTGGATTCCCCCCCAACACCACCCCTTTTTTTAAGGCTGTATTGTCAAGCAGTCGTGGGACAGTAGAAGACTTCTTCCTGGCTGGCTGAAATCTAGCATGGTGGCAGGTGAGTGTGCCTTGCATGTGCAGTCCAGTTTGGGGGCTGCGTGTGGATTCATTTATTACTTTAATTTGAATGTCTTTTACCCCCAAATAATTTGAAGTTGCTAAATCAGGAAAGTCATTTCATTAGTACTTCCCTTAACTCTTCCATTCAGCTCAGTGTAGTTCAGTAACCATTACTAGGTGCCTGGTAGTACAAGGTATTGCTCTAGGTTCTGGGACACAGGTAGAACATAGTGAGTCCTGCCCTCTGGAAGCACACAGTGTAGAGTGGGAGTCGGATGTGACTTCTTTTTTTGGTTTTTTGGTTTTATTTATTTATTTTTATTCAGCAGGTTCTTATTTATCTATTTTATACATGTTGGTGTATAATATGTCAATCCCAATCTCCCAATTCAGCCCACCACCACCACCCTTCCCCCGCTCTCCTTCCTTGGTGTCCATACGTTTGTTCTCTACATCTGTGTCTCTATTTCTGCCTTGCAAACCAGTTCATCTGTACCATTTTTCTAGATTCCACATATATGCGTTAATATACGATATTTGTTTTTCTCTTTCTGACTTACTTCACTCTGTATGACAGTCTCTAGGTCCATCCACGTCTCTACAAATGACCCTTTTTATGGCTGAGTTCCATTGTATATATGTACCACATCTTCTTTAGCCAGTCATCTGTCGATGGGCATTTAGGTTGCTTCCGTGACCTGGCTATTGTAAATAGTGCTACAATGAACATTGGGGTGCATGTGTCTTTTTGAATTATGGTTTTCTCTGGGTATATGCCCAGTAGTGGGATTGCTGGGTCATGTGGTAATTCTATTTTTAGTTTTTTTAAGGAACCTTCATACTGTTCTCCATAGTGGCTGTATCAATTTACATTCCCACCAACAATGCAAGAGGGTTTCCTTTTCTCCACACCCTCTCCAGAATTTGTTGTTCGTAGATTTTCTGATGATGCCCATTCTAACCAGTGTGAGGTGATATCTCATTGTAGTTTTGATTTGCATTTCTCTAATAATTAGTGATGTTAAGCAGCTTTTCATTTGCCTCTTGGCCATCTGTATGTCTTCTTTGGAGAAATGTCTATTTAGGTCTTCTGCCCATTTTTTGATTGGGTTGTTTTGTTTTAATATTGAGCTGCATGAGCTGTTTATATATTTTGGAGGTTAATCTTTTGTTGATTCATTTGCAAATATTTTCTCCCATTCTGAGAGTTGTCTTTTTGTCTTGTTTATAGTTTCCTTTGCTGTGCAAAAGCTTTTAAGTTTCATTAGGTCCCATTAGTTTATTTTTGTTTTTATTTCCATTACTCTAGGAGATGGGTCAAAAAAGATCTTGCTGTGATTTATGTCAAAGAGTGTTCTTCCTATGTTTTCCTCTGTTTTATAGTGTCCGGTCTTACTTTTAGGTCTTTAATCCATTTTGAGTTTATTTTTGTGTATGGTGTTAGGAAGTGTTCTAATTTCATTCTTTTACATGTAGCTGTCCAGTTTTCCCAGCACCACTTATTGAAGAGACTTTTCTTTTCTCCATTGTATATCCTTGCCTCCTTTGTCATAGATTAGTTGACCATAGGTGCATGGGTTTATCTCTGGGCTTTCTATCCTGTTCCATTGATCTATATTTCTGTTTTTGTGCTGGTACCATATTGTCTTGATTACTGTAGCTTTGTAGTATAGTCTGAAGTCAGAGAGTCTGATTCTTCCAGCTCCATTTTTTCCCCTCAAGATTGCTTTGGCTATTCAGGGTCTTTTGTGTCTCCATACAAATTTTAAGATTTTTTTGTTCTAGTTTTGTAAAAAATGCCATTGGTAATTTGATAGGGATTGCATTGAATCTGTAGACTGCTTTGGGTAGTATAGTCATTTTCACAGTATTGATTCTTCCAATCTACAAACATGGTATATCTCTCCATCTGCTTGTGTCATCTTTAATTTCTTTTATCAGTGACTTATAGTTTTCTGAGTACAGGTCTTTTACCTCCTTAGGTAGGTTTATTCCTAGGTATTTTATTCTTTTTGTTGCAATGGTGAATGGGATTGTTTCCTTAATTTCTCTTTCTGAGCTTTCTTCGTTTGTGTATAGGAATGCAAGAGATTTCTGTGCACTAATTTTGTGTCCTGCAACTTTACCAGATTCATCGATTAGCTCTAGTAGTTTTCTAGTGGTATCTTTAGGATTTTCTATGTATAGTATCATGTCGTCAGCAAACAGTGACAGTTTTATTTCTTCTTTTCCAATTTGGATTCCTTTTATTTCTTTTTCTTCTCTGATTGCCATGGCTAGGACTTCCAAAACTATGTTGAATAATAGTGGTGAGAGTGGACATCCTTGTCTTGTTCCTGATCTTAGAGGAAATGCTTTCAGTTTTTCACCATTGAGAATGATGTTTGCTGTGGGTTTGTCATATATGGCCTTTATTATGTTGAGGTAGGTTCCCTCTGTACCCACATTTTGGAGAGGTTTTATCATAAATCAGTGTTGAATTTTGTCAAAAGCTTTTTCTGCATCTATTGAGAATGATCATATGGTTTTTATTCTTCAATTTGTTAATATGGTGTATCACATTGATTGATTTGCATATATTGAAGAATCCTTGCATCCCTGAGATAAATCCTACTTGATCATGGTGTATGATCCTTTTAATGTGTTGTTGGATTCTGTTTGCTAGTATTTTGTTGAGGATTTTTGCATCTATATTCATCAGTGATATTGGTCTGTAATTTTCTTTTTCTTTGTAGTATCTCTGTCTGGTTTTGGTATCAGGGTGATGGTGGCCTTGTAGAATGAGTTTGGGAGTGTTCCTTCCTCTGCAATTTTTTGGAAGAGTTTGAGAAGGATGGGTGTTAGCTCTTCTCTAAATGTTTGATAGAATTCACCTGTGAAGCCATCTGGTCCTGGACTTTTGTTTGTTGGAAGATTTTTAATCACAGTTTCAATTTCATTTCTTGTGATTGGTCTGTTCATATTTTCTATTTCATCCTGGTTCAGTCTTGGAAGGTTATACCTTTCTAAGAATTTGTCCATTTCTTCCAGGTTGTCCATTTTATTGGCATAGAGTTGCTTGTCGTAGTCTCTTATGATGCTTTGTATTTCTGCAATGTCCATTGTAACTTCTCCTTTTTCATTTCTAATTTTATTGATTTGAGTCCTCTCCCTGTTTTTCTTGATGAGTCCCGCTAAAGGTTTATCAATTTTGTTTATCTTCTCAAAGAACCAGCTTGTAGTTTTATTGGTATTTGCTGTTGTTTTCTTTGTTTCTGTTTCATTTATTTCTGCTCTGATCTTTATGATTTCTTTCCTTCTACTATCTTTGGGTTTTGTTTGTTCTTATTTCTCTAGTTCCTTTAGGTGTAAGGTTAGATTGTTTATTTGAGATTTTCCTTGTTTCTTGAGATAGGGTTGTATTGATATAAACTTCCCTCTTAGAACTGCTTTTGCTGCATTCCATAGGTTTTGGATTGTCGTGTTTTCGTTGTCATTTGTCTCTAGGTATTTTTTGATTTCCTCTTTGATTTCTTCAGTGATCTCTTGCTTATTTAGTAATGTATTGTTTAGCCTCCATGTGTTTGTGTTTTTTATGTTTTTTTCCCTGTAATTGATTTCTAATCTCATAGCGTTGTGGTCAGAAAAGATGCTTGATATGACTTCAGTTTTCTTAAGTTTACTGAGGCTTGATTTGTGACCCAAGATGTGATCTATCCTGGAGAATGTTCCATGTGCACTTGAGAAGAAAGTGTAATCTGCTGTTTGGGGATGGAATGTCCTATAAATATCAATTAAATCTATCTGGTCTATTGTGTCATTTAAAGCTTGTGTTTCCTTATTAATTTTCTGTCTGGATGATCTGTCCATTGGTGTAAGTGAGGTGTTAAAGTCCCCCACTATTATTGTGTTACTGTCAATTTCCTCTTTGATAGCTGTTAGCATTTGCATTTGCCTTATGTATTGAGGTGCTCCTATGTTGGGAGCATATATATTTATAATTGTTATATCATCTTCTTGGATTGATCCCTTGATCATTATGTAATTTCCTTCCTTGTCTCTTGTAACATTCTTTATTTTAAAGTCTATTTTATCTGATATGAGTATTGCTACTCCAGCTTTCTTTTGATTTCCATTTGCATGGAATATCTTTTGCCATCCCCTCACTTACAGTCTGTATGTGTCCCTAGGTCCGAAGTGGGTCTCTGGGTCTTGTTTTTGTATCCATTCAGCAAGCCTGTGTCTTTTGGTTGGAACATTTAATCCATTCACATTTAAGGTAATTATCAATATATATGTTCCTACTGCCATTTTCTTAATTGTTTGGGGTTTGTTTTCATAGGTCCTTTTCTTCTCTTTTGTTTCCCACTTAGAGAAGTTCTTTTAGCATTTGTTGTAGAGCTGGTTTGGTGGTGCTGAATTCTCTTAGCTTTTGCTTGTCTGTAAAGCTTTTGATTTCTCTGTCAAATCTGAATGAGATCCTTGCCAGGTAGAGTAATCTTGGTTGTAGTTTCTTCCCTTTCATCACTTTAAATATATCGTGCCACTCCCTTCTGACTTGTAGAGTTTCTGCTGAGAAATCAGCTGTTAACCTTATGGGAGTTCCTTTGTATGTAATTTGTTGTTTTTCCCTTGTTGCTTTTAATAATTTTTCTTTGTCTTTAATTCTTGACAATTTGATTACTATGTGTCTTGGTGTGTTTCTCCTTGGGTTTATCCTGCCTGGGACTCTCTGCACTTTCTGGACTTGGGTGGCTATTTCCTTTCCCATGTTAGGGACATTTTTGACTATAATCTCTTCAAATATTTTCTCAGGTCCTTTCTCTCTCTCTTCTCCTTCTGGGACCCCTCTAATGCAAATGTTATTGCATTTAATGTTGTCCCAGAGGTCTCTTAAGCTGTCTTCATTTCTTTTCATTCTTTTTTCTTTATTATGTTTTGCAGTAGTGAATTCCACCATTCTGTCTTCCAGGTCACTTATCCATTCTTCTGCCTCAGTTATTCTGCTATTGATTCCTTCTAGTGTATTTTTCATTTCATTTATTATATTGTTCATCTCTGTTTGTTTGTTCTTTCATTCTTCTAGTTGTTTGTTCTTTAATTCTTCTAGGTCTTTGAATTGTTTTTTTAATTAAAAAATTTTATTTATTTATTTATGGCTACGTTGGGTCTTCGTTGCTGCACATGGGCTTTCTCTAGTTGCAGCAAACGGAGGCTACTCTTCATCGCAGTGCTCAGGCTTCTCATCATGGTGGCTTCTCTTGTTGCAGAGCATGCGCTCTAGGCACACGGGCTTCAGTAGTTGTGGCTCGCGGGCTCTAGAGCACAGGCTCAGTAGTTGTGGCACACAGGGTTAGTTGTTCCGCGGCACGTGGGATCTTCCCAGACCAGGGACTGAACCTGTTTCCCCTGCATTGGCAGGCAGATTCTTATCCACTGCGCCACCAGGGAAGCCCTCTTCTAGGTCTTTGTTAAACATTTCTTGCATCTTCTCGATCTTTGCCTCCATTATTTTTCCGAGGTCCTGGATCATCTTTACTATCATTATTCTGAATTATTTTTCTGGAAGGTTGCCTATCTCCACTTCACTTAATTGTTTTTCTGGGGTTTTATCTTGTTCCTTCATCTGGTACATCATCCCCTGCCATTTCATTTTGTCTATCTTTCTGTGAATGTGTTTTTTGTTCCACAGGCTACAGGATTTTAGTTCATCTTGCTTCTGCTGTCTGCCCTCTGGTGGATGAGGTTATCTAAGAGGCTTGTGCAAGCTTCCTGATGGGAGGGACTGGTGGTGGGTAGAGCTGGGTGTTGCTCTGGTGGGCAGAGCTCAGTAAAACTTTAATCTGCTTATCTGCTGATGGGTGGGGCTGAGTTCCCTCCCTGGTGGTTGTTTGGCCTGTGGCAACCCAGCACTGGAGGCTACAGGCTCTTTGGTGGGGCTAATGGCGGACTCCAAGAGGGCTCATGCCAAGGAGTACTTCCCAGAACTTCTGCTGCCAGTGTCCTTGTCCCCACGGTGAGCCACAGCCTGCCCCTGCCTCTGCGGGAGACCCTCCAACACTAGCAGGTAGGTCTGGTTCTGTCTCCCCTGGGGTGACTCCTCCTTTCCCTGGATCCCACTGTGCGCACTACTTTGTGTGTGCCCTCCAACAGTGGAGTCTCTGTTTCCCCCAGTCCTGTCGAAGTCCTGCAGTCAAATCCCAGTAGGCTTCAAAGTCTGATTCTCTGGGAATTCCTCTTCCCGTTGCCAGACCCCTAGGTTGGGAAGGCTGACGTGGGGCTCAGAACCTTCACTCCAGTGGGCGGGCTTCTGTGGTATAATTGTTCTCTAGTTTGTGAGTCACCCACCCAGCGGTTATGGGATTTGATTTTATCATGATTGCACCCCTCCTACCGCCTCATTGCAGCTTCTCCTTTGTCTTTGGATGTGGGGTATCTTTTTTGGTGAGTTCCCGTGTCTTCCTGTCGATGATCGTTTAGCAGTTAGTTGTGATTCCAGTGCTCTTGCAAGAGGGAGTGAGCACACGTCCTTCTACTCCTCCATCTTGAACCAATCCTGGATGTGACTTCTTTTTACACTATTAGAATTATTGCTTAGTGAACAAACTGTATTATGGTATTGATAAAGAAAATGGAAATAAAAGTAATTTTGCCACTTCAGCTTTCTTTCTTTTATACTTTTATTCAGTCAGCAGATATCCAATGGGTATGAATTGCTCTTGTCTGGGCCCTCCATGTGGCTTATTCATGTGGTTGGTGCTCAGGCCTCCTCTTACCTAGCTTGGCGGTGGTGAAACTGAAATTCAGTCCTCCCTCCCACCCCACGTTGCCGCCTGGCTCTCCTCCATTCCTGCTGCTTCACCAGCCACTCGTTCGAGGTCCCCCTGGCTGGTTCTTTCCCATCTCCCTGGCTGCTGAATGCTGGACCTCCCCAGGGCCAGACCCTGGTGTCTTCTTTCCAGTTACACTCACACGCCTGGCGACATGGCATTAAAGACAACTTGCTAGAATGGTAGCAAGTCCCAGCTCTCTCCCTCAACTCCAGTCTTGTGCATCCCGCTGCCCGTTTGACACCTGACTAGAAAGGTCTGTCAGGTCTTGCACATGGAACATGCATTCTGCACATCTTCTACTCCTGCCGTCTTCCATGTCCCTGAACGGCAACTCCATCCTTCTAGTTGCTCAGGTTGACACCCGTGGAGTAGTGTTAGACTCTATTCTCTCTCACCCCAACTTCCAATCCATCAGGAAGTCCTGGGACTTGATTTAAAAAACAGATTTGAAATCCAACTCCTTCGCATCAGTGCCTCCAGGCCCATGCTGCTGTCACCCTCACCTGGATTGATTGTAGTAGCCTCTTCTCTAGGCGCCCTCCTTCCACTTGTGCTCCTCCACGTCCAACCTCAACAAAGCAGCTGAAGGGTCAGACCATGTCACCTGACTGCTTAAAACCCTCTGGGGGCTCTCATGTCACCCAGAATGAAAGCCCAGCCTATGTTAGGCCACAGATGATCTGCACCTCCTTACCTCTGTGACCTTGAACAATTTAGCCGTGCTTCTGCCTCAGGGCCATTGCCCCTGCTGCTCCTTCTGCCTGGAGGCTCTCTGCTCTCACAGGTACCCTTGGCTTGCCCCTCACACCTCCTCAGAGAAAGCTGGCCCTGCCCGCTGTACTGCACAGCATTTCCTGCCTGCCTTCTTTCTTTCTTTTTTTTTTCAATTGGGGTATAGTTGTTTTACAATGTTGTGTTAGTATCTACTGTACAGCGAGGTGAAGTAGAGTTCCCTGTGCTATACAGCAGGTTCTCATTAGTTATCTATTTTATACATATTAGTGTATATTTGTCAATCCCAATCTCCCAGTTCATCCCACCCCCTCTTTCCCCCCTTGGTGCCTGTACATTTGTTCTCTACATCTGTGTCTCTATTTCTGCCTTGCAAACCAGTTCATCTGTACCATTTTTCCAAATTCCACATTTATGTGTTAATATATGATATTTGTTTTTCTCTTTCTGACTTCACTCTGTATGACAGTCTCTAGGTCCATCCACGTCTCTACAAATGGCCCAATTTTGTTTCTTTTTATGGCTGAGTAACATTCCATTATATATATGTACCACATCTTTTTTATCCATTCGTTGTTGATGGAGATTTAGGTTGCTTCCGTGCCTGTCTGTTTTCTAACCTTTCTTCTTCTCTGTAGGACTTTACTATTTATCACTGTCTATTGTGCTACAAAATAATCCCCTAATTTATCTTGTTCATCCTCTTCCTCCTAAGAGAATGTTAGCTTCATGAGGGCAGGGATTTGTCTGTTTTACTCACTGATGTATTCCTAGTATGTACAACACTGACACATAGTTGGCAGTGGACATTTATTAATAGTTACTGAATTAATGAAGGTACATTTAATGAACTAATGTCTTCCTAGGTCTATATAAACATAGGTAGGTAGATAGAGATATTTTATATTTATACACAGTTGTATAGTGTTATATCATATGGACATTCCACCATTTATGTAACATATTATTGGACAATTTAGATTGTGTATAGTTTTTCATTATTATGATAAAGGTAGCAAACATTCCTAATAGTAAAAATAACTGCTTGAGTAATTATTATGTGCCTCTTCCAAGATTTTTTTTGCCTTATATTTGTTGGTGCTACAGTGTTTGGGTGCCTGTATGTTCTCAGTTATGTCTTACTAGTGCATTTTATGTTTCATGGTTTAAAAACAAAACAAAAAAACCTCTGTCATATTTAATGCTTTTGGTATTGAATCCTACTTTATCTTATGTTAATATCGTCAATGCTGTGTTTTTTGTTTGTTTTTATCTAAAAGGCTTTGTTATTTTTAGTCTCTCTTAATAATTTGGTTTTAAGTGTATCTTGTGTCAAATATGGCACAGTATTTGGATTTGGATTTGGAACGGAGTGGCTATCTCTACTCAATTAAAATTGGTTTAGGAGGGATTTTGTTCATTTTAAATGCCTCTGGGATTTTTTATTTTGAAAGTAACATATGCTGGTTGTAAAAAAAAAAAAAAAGTTACAATCCAAGTATGGAACTTGAAATTTTCTTACCATTCTATTTCTATAACCATGATTCCAGTCCCCAGAAGTATTTTTATATATATACTACCAGAATCACTCCCATCTATATATAAACATACATGTGCATAAGTGTAATATGCCCACACAAAATTTTAATGAGATTATATTATCAATATTGTTTACATTATTTTTTATCATTTAATAGAGTTCCTTTATTCTTTCTGTATGCTACATTGTATTTCATCATATTCATGTACCTTAGTATTTTAACCATTCTCTTATAATCAGTTAGATTGTTAATATTTTTAAATTACTTCAAACAGTGATGAAATTACACTCCTGCTAATATTTCTGCAGTTGCAAATAAGTCAGTGGAGCGTGTGGAGGGTGGCAACATAAGAATGCAGTAATACTTTTTTCCCTTCATCCCTTTTTACTTGGCTTCTAATTTATGGTTAGGGTTTGTATAGAAAAAATATGAATGGGAATTCTGCCCAGGGTATAATCCCTTTTGAGAAAATGTATTGATAAAATTCAGGTTGGGTTTATATTTGTGAGAATTAGTTTTTGAAGTTGGACTAAAAGTTCTGATCTGTAATTGTCTTTTGATTTTCAGATAGGTGCTTTTCTTTTTGCCTCGAATATTGGCACTGGGCACTTTATGGGCCTGGTTGGAAAGGGGGTGTCTTCAGGGATTGCTGTTGGGGCCTTCGAGTGGAATGTAAGTAGTGCCTTCTGTAGCAGCTAACCTCCACCTTTATCATTGTCCAAATGAAACATAAAAACTTGCTTTCAACCCTGAGTAAATATTAAAGACTCCTTGAGAAGTCATGGAAGAAGGGAACCAAGTCTTTGATTTCTCAACAAGATTGTGCTAGTTTTCATTCTTCTTAGTAAAGTAATGAAGAGATAGAGAATGTTTACATCCCAAGGGCCATAGGAATACAGTTAGGAGACTAGTCAGGTAGGGAAAAGGTCATATTAACACTTAAATATATATGTACATAAACATAAACATACATACATACACATATATGTGTGTGTGTACATAGACATACAGATATATATGTATATATGTGTGTGTATTTATCGGTATGTACACATTTGCGGTATGCAGTTGACCCTTGAAAAACATGCATTTAAACCATGCACGTCCGGTTACACGCAGATTTTTTTCAATAAATATAGTACTTTTATTTTCATTTCACAGATCTTTAAATTGACTAAGTGTGGGGAAAAGTTTGTGTTCAATTAGAGATCACAATATATGGAATCAGAAGAACTAGGGTTTGAGTCCTGATTCTATCCAGATTGTTTCAGCTTCCTGCCCTTGGATGAGTCATTTATCAATTCCTTTGTTTTTGAGACAGATTTAGCTTGACTACCTGGGGGTTGGCACCCCTAACCCCCACATTGTTCACGGGTCAACTGTATACTGAGAATAGGCTCAACTGGGTTCTTTGAGATATTCAGCTGGTTACTACAAAACTCCTAACTGATCGCCTATGAATACCAGGTTTCAACTATAAAACTTATCAAATGGATTATTTATCTAATCTGTGGAATATATTTGTTATAGGACCTAGAATTTGTTCACCTAAATTAATATAAGTGAATTTATGTGTCTTGGGTTAATTAACCTATCTCTATATAAATCACCTGGCCCTTTTTTTTTTTTTTTTGGATAAATCAGAAAGCTCCCTACTTTCTGGGTCTCATCTTTTCCTCTGGTAGACTACAGAAATAAACAATACTTCTAACAAAGTTAATTCCAGACCTGATAAGGCGCCCTGGTCTGTACCACCATTTAGTTCTCAGAATTCGTTCACATCTCCTTCATATATTCAACTTACCTCTTCTTTGTAAAGAAAGCCAGAGGGCTTCCCTGGTGGCGCAGTGGTTGAGAGTCTGCCTGCCGACGCAGGAGACACAGGTTCATGCCCCGGTCCGGGAAGATCCCACATGCCGCGGAGCGGCTGGGCCCGTGAGCCATGGCCACTGAGCCTGCGCGTCCGGAGCCTGTGCTCTGCAATGAGAGAGGCCACAACAGTGAGAGGCCTGCATACCAAAAAAAAAAAAAAAAAAAGAAAGCCAGAGACAAATGCATTACTTAATTTCAATAGCTTGTGTAAATTTTGGTGTAGTTTCTCTACTATTTCTCTGAAAGGTTTCTGATTTTTTTTTTTTACTATCTTTTTTGTTTAATTATAAGCCACCTTCGTTTCTATCTGGAAGTAGGCAAACAATAAATTTTAATAAATATCTTGAAAATTGGCTCAGTTAACCCCCTCTAAATTAAGAATGCACCCCTTTATAGGCAAAGATCAAGTGCCTATAAGTTAAGTTTGTTGTACTGGATGGCTTATGCTTGGGCTGTTATTTGCAAGGTCCCCAGTAATTATGACATTTATTGGGCTCAAAACAGTAACTGAGCTTGCATCTCATTTAAGAGCTTAGCCTAGGTGGGACCCTGATTTAATTGCTCTTCTTTTCTTGGTTTCAGTCTCCATTTATGCTCTGTGTTCTTGGTTGGGTATTTTCTCCCATTTACATTAAGGCTGGGGTGAGTATCCATTAGCGGTTACTCTTTTCTTTACAATATTTTTTCTTACAAATACTGCATATGTACATAAAAACATCCTAGAGGGGGCTTCCCTAGTGGCGCAGTGGTTAAGAATCCGCCTGCCAATGCAGGGGACGTGGGTTCGAGCCCTGGTCCTGAAGGATTCCACATGCCGCGGAGCAACTGAGCCCATGCGCCACAACTGCTGAGCTTGTGCTATTGAGCCGGCGTGCTGCGGCTGCTGAAGCCCGCGTGCCTAGAGCCTGTGCTCCGCAACAGGAGGGGCCGCCACAATCAGAAGGCTGCGCACCACAGCGGAGAGTGGCCCCTGCTCGCCACAGCTAGAGAAAGCCCGCACGCAACAACCAAGACCCAACGCAGCCAAAAATAAATTAATTAATTAAATTTAATTAAATTAAAAAAAAATATCCTAGAGGACAGGTTAAACTTCTCAGTGTTCTGATCCTTGTACTGATTTCCCTAAATCCTAAGAAATGTCTGAAATAACATCATTCTGACTGCTAAACAGAAGCCAGTAACTGCCTACTGTTTCACTCTGGACCTTACTCAAGAGTTCACTTCTTAAGGCTTTTATAGAAAACATTTTAAAACTTTGTTAAAAAATAAGACCTAAATTAAGAGAACAATTCTGTTAATGACTGGAAGACAACAGCCTAAAAATATTAGTTCTCCCTAAATCCAGAAGAAGATGTTTGAGGAACTTGACAAGCTGACTCTAAAATGTATGTAGGAGATAAGGGGACAAAGATGTCAGTGCCTGGATGAGAGAGAACAAAGAAGAGACTGTCCAGGCCTAGCATCCACAGGGGTACGTGGCATGATGTCACCAACATGGCAGAATAAGAGTGTTCTGTCAAAGAACTCCAGTTTAGACTGTCACCCACAGGCGAGAGGGCCTTTGTGGAAGTACAGGAGTCATGCTGTTGGAAAAGAAAAATACCCACGACTGGATGCATTGAAGAGGGTGAGAGGGACAGGTTCACTTTACACATGTCACCACTCCCCCGAGGTGGCACAGCTCAGTGCCAAGAGAGACCTTCTTAGCCTGAGATTTGCCCCATGGGGGAGAGCGACAGCGTGTAAGTGCCCAGCTACTCTAGCTGCGCAGACTGCTGCCAAAAAGACCTACTTCTTTCTTACTCCATCTAGAATATTCAGGTGTGCTGTATGACTGGGGGTGGGGAGTGGCTGGGAGAGCAGCACTTAGGGCTCTCAGATGGCATCAAAGGAACACAAATCCTACTAACCCCCTTGCAAACTCTATCAGGAAGCCTGCCAGTAAGCCACTGGGGGCTCTTCACTTGCAGATCTCCCCAGCTGGCCCTCAGACACCCCAACATTCTTCATGCCTCACCCACATATGCCTGCACCTTATGGCCAGCTCCCTTAGCTTACCTCCAATTGTGGCAGTGTTGATTCCTGGCATAAAGCTAGTGAGCACACGTAGAAAGCCAGCCTGACCCTGTAGGATTGGGAAAGCACACAGACGAGCATTCAGCACCACCCTCAGTAAGGCAAGCAAACTGGAGGCTGTCAGCACTCAGCCTGGCTTTGTAGGATCAAGGAAGACATGTGAAGCAGGTGTATCCAAGGAAAGGTCTGAAAAAGCCTCAGAATCCCTAGCAGGATTGATGGAACGTATTTCTCTCCAAAAACCAGTCAGTAAAAACTGGAGGCGGTGACTGCTTCCTCAAATGCAGAAACAGCAACACAAGACTTCAAGGAACTTGAAAAATCGAGGAAATATGACACCACCAAAGGAACACAATAATTTCCCAGTAACCAACTCCAAAGATTTGCCTGATAAAAAGTTCAAGACAGTTGTTTGAAGGAAGCTCAGTGAGCTACAAGAAAACACAGAAGGACAGCTCAGCGAAATAAGGAAAACAATATGTGAAAGAAATGAGAGGTTTAACAGAGAGATAGGAATCCTAACCATACAAATTCTGGAGCTGAAGATTACAATGAATGAAATGGAAAAGGCAACTGGGACATCAACAGCAGGCTTGGCAAAGCAGAAGAAAGATTCTGTGAACTCAATGATAGGTCATTTGAAATTACGCAGTCAGAGGAGAACAAAGGAAAAAGAGTGAAGAAAGCCTATGTGAGCTATGGGACACCATTAAAAGAAACAATCTACACATTACTGGCATCCCAGAAGAAGAGAGGGAGAAGCAGGCAGAAAGCTTATTTAAAATGGAGAACTTCCCAAATCTGAAGAGAGATTTGGATATCCAAGATGACAAAGCTCATCGGTTCCCCCCCAAGTTTTAACCCCAAACTATCTTCTCCAAGACACATTATAATAAAACTGTCTGAAATCAAAGACAGAGACGAAATTTTAAAAGCAGGAAAAGAAAAAAAATTCCTCACATACAAGGGAACCCCCATAAGGCTATCAGTGGATTTCTCAGCAGAAGGCTTGCAGGATAGGAGACAGTGAGATGATGTATTCAAAGTGGTAAAAGAAAAAGACTGCCAACCAAGAATACTTTATCTGGCAGAGTTGGTCTTCAGAAATGAAAGAGAAAAAAAGACTTTCTCAGACAAACAAAAGCTGGGGAAGTTCATCACAACTAGAGCTGCCTTATAAGAAATGTTGGAAGGAGTCTTCAAGCTGAAATGAAAGGATGCTAATTAGTAACATGAAAACATAGTAAGTAGATAGTCAAAATCAGACTACTCAAATACAGTAAGATGGTGGTACGTTAACCACTTAACTCTAAAGGTTAAAGGACAAAAGTATTTTTTAAAAACCATAGCTACAATTATTTGTTAACAGATACATAATATAAAAAGAGGTAAATTGTGATATCAAAAACATTAAATGTCAGGCGGGAAGTAAAAGGGTAGAGTTTTCATATGCATTCAAAGTTATCACCTTGAAATAGACTGTTATATCTATGGAAGCCTCATGGTAACCACAAAGCAAAAAGCTATGCTAGATACACAAAAGAGAAAGGAGAGAACCAAAGCTTACTACTATGGAAAATCATTAATTCACAAAGGAAGATAGTAAGAGGGGAAGAAAGTAACAGGGAAACTACAAAACAGTTAGAAAACAACTACCAAGATGTCATTAGTAAGTCCTTACCTAGCAATAATTACTTTACATGTAAATGAATTGAATACTCCAATCAAAAGGCACAGAGTGGATGAATGGATTAAAACTTAGCATGGTGGGACTTCCCTGGTGGTCCACTGGTTAACACTTTGCCTTCCAATGCAGGGGGTGAAGGTTCGATCCCTGGTCGGGGAGCTAAGATCCCACATGCCTCATGGCCTGAAAACCAAAACATGAAACAGAAGCAATATTGTAACAAATTCAGTAAAATGGTCCACATCAAAAAAATCTTTAAAAAAAGAATCAGCATGGTGACTATCATTAACAATACTGTATTATACACTTAAAAGTTGCTAAGAGAGTAAATCTTAAATGTTCTCACCACAAAAACGTGGCAGTTATGTGGGGTGATGGAGATAGTAACTTAAACTTACTGTGCTAATCATTTTGCAATATATACATGTATCAGATCACATCACATACCTTAAACTTGTATGATGTATGTCATAGCTCAGTAAATCTGGAAAAAAGTAAATAAAGTGTACGTAGAAGAGCAAAAGCATAAGAATAGCAAAGATATTCCTATCAAAGAAAAATAAGAAGAACTTATCTTACCAAATAGCATGACTTACTATAAAGCTGTAGTAATTAAGACAGTTTGGTATTGGCACAAGGATAAACACATTGACACAAGAGAGAGTGAAAAAGCCCAGAAACACTCATATGTATGAACACCAGATTTATGACATAGACGGCATTGCAGATGACTGAGGAAAGGAGGATCAATTGGTTATCATACGAAAAAAATAAAATTAGATCCCTATTCTACACAAAAATAATTTTGGATTGATTAAAGGCTTAAATAGGAAAGGCAAAAATTCGTCTAACTTTTATAAGAAAGTAAAAAATATCTTTATATCCTTGAAGTATGGAAGGATTTTAAAATAATATACAAAAATCCCAAATCTCTGGCTAACCACTAAAGTACACAGGCATACCTGAGACCCCAGGGAGCCCAGCCAAAAAAAGATCTGTCTTCCAAAGACAGGACTGTTCCTGGAGAGATTTGTGAGTTTGCTGTGCCAGTGACTGAGCACATTCCCCAGCTTGCACAGGGCAGGCAGTGGAAGACAGAAGTCTTGCTGGTTGGAGGTATCAAGGACATAATTGAGGGCTGGCAAAGCAACCCGAAACTTAGGAGGGGAGCTCCAAAAACAAGGGAGCCAAAGAGAGGGTTAGTCCCCAAATCTCAGTATAAATTCTGCCCAAACCCTTGACTGACTGCCAGGCTACTCAAGTGCAGGGAAAACCTTCAGAGGACCAGGCTAAGTCAGCAGCAGCTGGAAGCTGGAAAACCAAGTGGAGACCTCAGCTTCTGCACTGCAGGGTGGGGGTCAGGGTGGCATGGAAGATATGGTAGTCTGAGTCCAGACACATTCAGTCCCTACTCAAACAAGAGCACTAATCCTCGGAAGAACAAAACGGATTCTAGAGTGCTACATCATATTATCTATGATGGCCAGTCTTCAACCAAGAATTATTAGATATGCAAAGAAATGGGAAAATAAACATGACCCACACTCAGGGAGAAAAAAAGCAATAAGTAGAAGCTGACTCTGAGCAGGCCCAGATGTAGATTTAACAAAACAAAGACTTCAACTTGCTATTATAAATGTATTCCAAAATGTAAAGGAAAATGTGATATTAATGAGTGAACAAATAGAGCCTCTCAACAGAGAAACTGAAACTGTAGAAAAGAACCAAGTCGGGACTTCCCTGGTAGCGCAGTGGTTAAGAATATGCCTGCCAGTGCAGGGGACATGGGTTAGATCCCTGGTCCAGGAAGATCCCACATACCGTGGAGCAACTAAGCCTGTGTGCCAGAACTACTGAGCCTGCACCACGACTACTGAAGCCTGTGCGCCTAGAGCCCATGCTCCGCAACAAGAGAAGCCACCGCTATGAGAAGCCTGCCCACCACAGTGAAGAGTACCCCCTGCTCATGGCAACTAGAGAAAGCCCGCACACAACAATGAAGACCCAATGCAGCCAAAAATTTTTAAAAATAAAAGTAAAAACCAAAAAAAAACAAGTCAAAATTCTCAAGTTGAAAAGCATAGTAGCTGAAATGAAGACTTCACAAGAGGGGTTCAACAGCACAATTAAGATGGCAAAAGAGAGAATCAGTGAACTTGAAGATAAGAATTACTCAGGATAAAGAACAGAGGAGAAAAAACTGAAGAAAAAGGAACAAAACCTCAGAGACCTGCAATACAATATCAATCGATCAGACATGTAATTGGAGTCCCAGAAAGAGAAGAGAAAGAGGCAGAAAAAAATTTTTGAAGAAATAATAACTGAAAATATATCCTTTGGTGGAAAATGTTAATTTACAGATTCAAAATGCTTAACAAACACTAAATAGAATAAACACAAAGAAAACTACACATAGGTTTACATCACAGTCAAACTGCTAAAAGCAAAGATAAAGAGAAGATTTTGAAATTGGTAAAAGAAAAGCAACACATTACATGCAGGGAAACAATGATACAGTTAATAGACGACTTCTCATCAGATACAGTGGAGACCAGAAAACATCAGAATGACATAGTTGGATGCTGAATGGAAGAAAAAGCTGTCAACCGAGAATTCTATACCCAGCAAAAGTATCCTTTAAAAATGAAGATTAGGGGCTTCCCTGGTGGTGCAGTGGTTGAGAGTCCACCTGCCGATGCAGGGGACACGGGTTCGTGCCCCGGTCCGGGAAGATCCCACATGCCACGGAGCAGCTAGGCCCGTGAGCCATGGCCGCTGAGCCTGCGCGTCTGGAGCCTGTGCTCCGCAACAGGAGAGGCCACAACAGTGAGAGACCCGCGTAGCGCAAAAAAAAAAAAAAAAAAAAAAAAAAAAAGATGAAATATATATAAATAGGGCTTCCCTGGTGGCACAGTGGTTAAGAATCTGCCTGCCAATGCAGGGGACATGGGTTTGAGTCCTGGTCCAGGAAGATCCCACATGCTGCAGAGCAACTAAGCCCGTGCGCCACAACTACTGAAGCCCGTGCGCCTAGAGCCCCGTGCTCCACAACGGGAAAGGCCGCCACAATGAGGGGCCTGCGCACCACAACAAAGAGTGGCCCCCGCTCGCTGCAACTAGAGAGAGCCCACGCACAGTAACAAAGACCCAACACAGCCAAAAATAAATTAAATAAATAAATTTTAAAAGAAAAGAAATATATATAAGTATTGAATCATTATGTTGTACACCTGAAACCAATGTAAGGTGATAAGTCACTTATACTTCAATTAAAAAAAGAACTTATTGCAAAAAAAAATTTTTTGAAGGTTATTGGGTAGGTAAAAATTTCTTAGGACACAAAAACCACAAACCATAAAGGAAGAAATTGATATATTGGACTTCAAAGTAAAATTTTAAACTTTAACTCTTAGAAGTATATTTTTAAGAAAGTGAAAAGTCAAGCTAGAGACTGGGAAGGAGTATTTGTAGAACATACTGACAGTAAAAGACTTATATCCTGAATATACATATTTTTTAAAACTCTTAAAGCTTAACAGCAAGAAGACATTTCACCAAAGAAAATATACAGATGGCAAATAATCACATGAAAAGATGTTCACTATCACTGACCGTTAGGAAAATGCTACTTAAAATCAGATCCAGTGCACACCCACTAGAATGGCTGAGATTAAAAGGACTGATGCTACCAAGAGCTGGAGAGGTTGTGGAGCCCCTGGGGCCCGTACCTTTCTGGAGGGAACGTTGGAAAACAGGTTGGCAGTTTCTTACCCAGTTACACCTTAGGATCTAGCCGTTCTGTTCCTGGGTGTGGCAATTCACCCCACCCCAGAGAAATGAAGACGCACGTCCACACACAGACTGATACAGGAAGTTTTAGTCCTAACAGATGAACCTAGAAATAATCTGAATTGGGACAGACAGCACGTGACATGGTACTAGGTGGCACCGAGGAGCCGTCGAGTGACAGCACGGGTGAGAAGCAGGATGTGGTACCAGGTGAAAGTAGCAGGACATAGAAGTGCACACACTCTTTTTTTTGGGAGGGGGAGTTGCATTTATTCTTTATTGATTATGGATACTTTCCTTACTAGCCATATGCATTAAAAGAAAATTGTGAACCAGTAAAATAAACCAGACAGAGAAACAAATATTGCATGATATTAATTATATGTGGAATCTTAAAAAAAAAATGTCGAAGTCATAGAAACACACAACAGAATGGTGGTTGCCAGGGTTGGGTTGTGGAGGAAATAGGAAGGTCTGCTGGTCCCAAAGGGAAGTTCATGAGTGATTTGTGAGCAGGGACTCTGGTGGTTCTGTGACCATTCACACTGGTTTCCCCGGAGCTGTGTGACTCCATGGGTTTGAGCTCCAAGGAAGGCGAGTCTGGCGACAGCTGGTTTTCCAAGACTGGGGTGGTGAGGGTCTTGGCCGCACGCCCTTGGGAGCTTAGCAGGGTGTTAGAAATGCCTTATATTTTGAATGTGGTGGTGATCACACAACTGTATACATTTTCCCAAACTCATCAAACTTTACACTTAAAATGGGATAATTTTACTGTGTGTAAACCATGGCTCATAAAACTTAAAAACATACACTTGTGGAGAGGGCATTAAAATTGTGGAAGGCTTTGTCTGCCGTGCAGTCTAAAGCTTGCAGTTGTGAAGCCATAATCCCAGGAAAATCACCTCATATTGTGACGGATTTTGAGATAAAGTCTTTAAAGAAGTAATTAAGTTAAAATGAGGTCGTTAGGGTGGGTCCTAATCCAGCATGACTTTATGAGATGAGTATATTGGACACAGACATGTACAGAGGGAAGGGTGAGCAGACGCAGCGGGGAGATGGTCTCAGCCAGCCAAGGAGACAGGCCTGGCATGCATCCTTCCTCACGGCCCCGCGAGAACCAGCCCCGGACACCACGAGCTGCCAGCCCCCAGAGCTACAGGGCAATGCGTTTCTGTTGTGTGAGCCACTCTGTCGTACTTTGTGACGGCAGCCCTGGCAAACTACTATGAGTAGTGAGTGTGAAACAGCTTAGAGCCCGACTGAGAAGTCAGCCGTGTGTGGTAGCATACGATTAAGAACCAAATGAAGAGGAAATGAATGGAAGCTCCAGGTGTTTAGGAGGGGCCGTGTGGTCCCTGCCAAGCCCCCAGCTAAAGCTGCAGAAAGCAGATGGGATTTGCATGTGTGAGGTGGGGGAACAAGAGCACAGGAGCATATTCGGGACTGGAGGTGGGATGGTATTCAGTTACCGCTGGTTTATTCACTGCCGTGAGCCAGGCACTGTGCTAGGAGCCAGGCATCTGATGATCGAAGAGCGCGCTCCCTGCCACCGGGCACACACAGCGTGAGATGGTGGAGGTAGAAATGAGCAGGGCGGTCTGGGGCACCAGCTCACACACGAGCGGCATTGGCACAGAGGACCAGGTGTGAGAGCTGTGGAGTCAAGTTGTGTCTCCCTTGAGCCCTTGGTATATTTGTAATATGTGATAAAAACATTTGATTTTGCTCTATGATTATTTCATGAAAGTGATTTGTCATCGTTTGACATATTCAATTAGCTGCATTTACTTCTGCTTTCCAAAGGTTGAACAGGAAGCTAAATTCCAAGCTTCTTGAAGACAGCGGTTTTGCCTCTTCTTTCCTAGTTCTCCCATCTTAACAGGGGTCCGTGTAATGCAAAGGGAGAGTTGGTGACCCTGCACCTGGTACTCCTGGGCCGCTCCCACCGTCAGCTGCATCTCCGTGACAGCCAGCACCTTGTGAGTGCTCTGCCTGATGGTGGCTTCTCTTGTTGCTCCTACAGGTAGTAACATTGCCCAAATATTTGAGGAAGAGGTTTGGTGGCTACTGGAACCAGTTCCTCCTCACTATTCTGTACTTCTTCCTTTATATCTTCAGTAAGATCTCGGTGAGTTGTGTAAAAGCCAGCCCAAGGAAGAAAAACACAAAAAAATCGATAGGCAGGACTATGCTAGGTTTGTCGCAGCAGTTCACTCTGGGGCCTCATAAGTTACTTGTCAGCCTCTGCTGTCTAAGCTAAAGTGGAGAAAAAATAGCTTAATGATACACAAAATGAAAGGCAGAGGCATCTTCTTTGCTTCCCAAGCCCGGGTTACAGGCCCCTCCTGTGTGTTCCCAGAGAACGCTGGGTGCCATGTCATCAGGTGGTGCCACTCCCCTGCTGGAAACAACCCAGGCACCCCACCACCCTTACAAGAGAACTGAACCTCGCGCTATGACCTGTGAAGCCTTCCTACCCTGGCCCTGCCTCTGGCCTCGTCTCCTCCCCTGTACTCGCCATATCGTTTCTCAAATCCAGCAAGCTTATTCCCACTTGAAGCCCTTGACACCTGCTCTGTACTGTGTCTGGAATGTTCTTCCCCCAGATTTTTGAAATGTCACTTCCTGGGAGAGGCCTTCCTCGGATGTGCCCAGTCAGTCTCTACTCCATTACTGTTTCTGTTTCCTTTGTAATACACGCCACCATGTGAGAGAATTTATCTGTTTCCTTGCTTGTTATCTGTCTTCTCCACTCTGGTGCGAGCTTCTTGAGCCCCGGGCCCTTTCCTGGCTTGCTCCCTGCAATCCCCCTCTGCTGAGAACATGGTTAGCACATAAGGCACTTGACAGGTGTTTTTTTTGAATGACTGAATGAGTGTCACTTATCACACTTCATGGAAATTGCCTATTTGGTGGCCAATCTCCTTCATTAAACATAAGGTACTTGAAGACAGTGACTGAGTTTTGGTAACCCTTGGACCTCCTGAACCCTGCCGAGTATCTACCGCATGGCTGGTGCTCAGTAAACATTCGGTGTGTAAATGTTGGGTGTTGGGAGAACCTCTGCCCATTGTATCCCTGGCTGTGGAGACCAGAATACCAAAGCACGAGGTTAGCCAGTAAATGACGTGCAGGTGCTTCAGAGTCATTGTCAACGAAGCCTGGGGTTAACAAACCCAGCCCGCAGGCCAGTCGGACTAGTGATCTGCTTTGTACAGTCCTTGAGCTAAGAATGGTTTTTACAGTTTTAAAGAGTCGTAAAAAAACAGAAATGGTCTGTGTGTCACAAAGCCTACAGCATTTACCATCTTCCCTTTACAGAAAAAGCTTGCCAGTCCCTGATAAGCAGCCCCCTCTGCCTTTCCCACTGGCGGAACTGCAGGAACAGCTCGCTCCCTGGGCACACTCCCCACTCTGAGGCTCCAAGGAGGAAGAGGCTAAGTTGCATTAACTTAGCCCAATGCTTAAAGGTCCTGACCTTGGCTGAACTCATGGGGCACCAGCTGTGTTGCCCAACAGAACTTGGGTAGACCTCACCCAGTGTCCACTAGGAATGGAGTGGACGTGCTGACTTCAGATGGCCTCTGAGGTCAGCGTCTTTATGGGACAGCTGTTGATAGAGCTGGAAATGAAAGTGCAGCCTGCTACGTTTGTACCCATTTCAGGTGGAGATCTGCACTGGCACCATGTTCATGAGGCTGGTTTTGGGGTTGGATGTTTACCTGGCCACCGTAGTCTTGCTGTCAGTTACCGGCATTTATGCCATCACAGGTGAGGTTACCCTAACCCCACAGGTATTTGTGTTGACACAAAAGCTCTACTTCTTAGTGAAGTCCTAAAGACATTGAGACAGGGATCTCCAGCTTTTGCATTTTCCCTGAATCTGTAAGTCACATTGCTGAGGCCTGAAAGGGCCAAACACTGAAAATAATTGAGGCAGGGGTGCCCGAGTTGTGCCCTTCTCCTGGAAATCGTATCAGACTGGCAGAGGCTTTCCAAGAGGATTGACAGGGCTGGCAGTGTTTGGGGTGGGGCAGGCCTCACACTGAAGTCTGCCTGGTGAAGGGGTGAAGGAGTGGGAGCACAGAAAGGGACTGAGAGGAGGAGCTGCTTCAGGGCATCCCGGTTACCTGGTAACCTGGTCAGGCCATCAGATGGGATCACTTAGGCAGACAATTCAAATTTGGAATGTTGATCCCATCTTGGGCTAACGCTATGTAGCATGATACATGGCATCATAACCTTGGGTAGTGGCAGCTCCCCATCAGCCACACATCCACGAGGTGAACAGCCGTTCTCTACCCAGACAGCCATTCTGGTTTTCTCTTTCAGTACAGTATTCAATACATTACATGAGATGGTCAACATTGTATTATAAAATAGGCTTTGTGTTAATGAATTTGCCCGACTGTAAGCTAATGTAAGTGTTCTGAGCACATTTAAGGCAGACCAGGCTAAGCTATGATGTTCAGTAGGTGAGATGTAGTAAATGCATTTTCGACTTAATAATATTTTCAGCTTACAATGGGCTTATCAAGATGTAACCCCATCATAAGTCAAGGAAGACCTGTATACTTTTTTGCTTAGGAAAACTGCCAGATTTTCATTTATCCAAAATGGGAAGTAAAAGGAAATTGGGATATAAAAGAGCAAGATAACTATCCAACAACAGATCATGAAGGCTGTTCAAGAGAGAAAACAGGGTGTATCTAGTCTAAGCATAAGCAGTTGTAAGGCCCACTGAGCTCAGGACGGAGGTGTGGGTGTGGAGACGGGCAGACCCGAGTGTGTGGACCAGGCATGCAGAGTAACTTCCCACAGAGTCAGGCGTGGCTCTCCTTTCCCTTTCTCTTGCCTATTCAGGTGGTTTTGCGGCTGCAGTTTATACTGATATCTTACATGCTGGCGTTGTGGTTCTGGGCTCAGTCTTGTTAATGGGCTATGGTAAGTAAGTCTGGAGAGCAGTGGGCACTGTGGGTGGACTCTTTGAATCTGACAGCTGTCTGGGGCCATTTCAGCACCTTCCTCTCACAGATGAGGAGACCGAGGCCCTCAGAACCCACGAGCGTTGTCTAAGGTCATGTCCGCGTCAGGAGAAGGAGGAGTTGAGGAGTAGGAGGGGTGATGACAAACTCAGGCACTTTGAACAGCAGTCAAGAGTGGCCCACCACACTCATCCCCACTCTGTGCCTGTGTCCATGCTCTTCCTCTCCAGTCAGAAGCCCCTCTCCCTTTTGTCCACTCAGTTAAATCCATCTCTCAGGGTCAGCGGAAGATCCACCCCTGAGTGTGTGATTCCATGATTGTTCTACCTCTACGTCTTTGTTCTCTGGACTTGTATCACTACCACACAACGTGACTTTTCTTTTTGATGGTACATACCTTGATTGTTCATTGTGTCACATAAATAAGTCATACCCCCCAGGTCCAAACCTTCTTAAGAACCAGAGCCATTGTATCCTTCACACAATGAGTCTGATGCACATGGTAGGTGCTTAGTGAGTAAGACGAATGAAAATAATAGCTGATATAAATTGAGAATCAGGTACCATGCAGGCATTTATCTGTATTGCCTCATTAAATGATCACAGTCATCATGAGGCATAACTACTTTTATTATCCTCATTTTACTGATGAGGAAGCTGAGTTACTCAGTTAAGTAACTTGTTCATGAAACACACCAAGAGTAGAGCTCAGAGCTGGGTCCCTCTAACACCGAAGCCCCCGATATTTGAATAGCATATTACCGTACCTGTAGTGACAATTACACTCACCTTCAAGTGGAGGTTTCCTCCCACTAGCTAGGAGTAGCCTTAGTGAGGTTGGCGGTACCCACTGTTCCATGAGTCAGAGATTGGTCTTGCAGAAACCTAGAAGGAAAAGCTCTTGGCTCAGGTATGGAAAAATTATTGAAATGATATGCTAGTTCAGTTGAAGGGTTATGGTTCCTTAGAGCATGTTGTTGAGCCTCATGGAAGGAGAACAGATAGACTCACAAAGAATCACAAACCTCAGTCTTACCATTCAGTAAGCATTAGTGCTCCATGAAGTATACTCAATGCTGTGTTGCTGGGACACAAAATACCTGTCAGGCATGCTCCAAGGAATTTTGTAATGAGCTGGGAAACAATCACTGATTTGAGTGACACAACTATAAACTATAAAACATTCTAAGCCATTGTGTTTGCTCAATGTTAATGGTAAATATCAACTTTATTAAAACTTGCCAAGACCATCCCAATACTTGAGAATGATATCCAATTAAACTTTAGGGGCAGATGGAATATTCCATTTAATTTTAGCAATTATATCTCTAAATAATTATATATCATTTACTGTTATAGACTGAATGTTTGTATCCCCCCAAAATTCATAAGTTGAAATCCTAACCTCCAATGTGATGGTATTGGGAGTTGGGGCCTTTGGGAGGCAGTTAGGTCATGAGGGAAGAACCTTCACGAATGGCATTAGTGCCCTTATAAAAGAGACCCCAGAGAGCTCCCTCGACCCTTCTGCCACATGAGGACACAGTGAGAAGATGGCCAACACCCTGTCAGCCAGCACCTTGATCTTGGACTTCCCAGCCTCCAGAACTGTGGGAAGTAAGCCATTCACTATATGGTATTTTGTTATAGCAGCCCGAACAGACTAAGACATTCTCTGAGAAATTTAATGGGATTTTTTTTTTTTACCAGAGTATTCATGCTAGTTCTTTTGATAAGTAAACTATTTGGGAGAGGTGTTGTTTTCCTTTAAAAACATACAAGAACTTGTACATCCAAGTGAATGTTGCCTTCAAACAAGTCACCGAGGGAACCTGTGCACATACAATTTTATTTTTTTATTTCTAATTTTTAGGTAAATTTTAGGTAAGGTAAACAAAACAGAAGGGTACACAGTGAAATATTTACCACCCTCAGTTTCTCAGTTTGACTCCCCAGAGCCAACCAGTATCATAAGTTTTGTGTACATCCTTCCAGAGACGGTCTTCATATGTACAAGCAAACCTTGGAGATATTGTGGGTTTGGTTCCAGACTACAGCAATGAAGCAAATACCACAATAAAGCAAGTCACATGAATTTTTTGGTTTCCCAGTGCATATAAACTTATGTTTACACTATACTGTAGTCTGTTAAGTGTACAATAGCATTATGTCTAAAAACAAGGCACATACCTTGATTTTAAAATAATGCTGTTGGAAAAATGGCACTTATAGACTTGCTCATTTCAGGGTTGCCACAGACCTTCAATTTGTAAAAAAAAAAAAAAAAAAAAAACCAAAAAAACCACATGGTATCTGCAAAGTGCAGTAAAGCAAAACACAATAAAATGAGATATGCCTGTACAAATATTTTTTTTCTCTGTGAGATATATATCTTAATAGAATCAGAACATTTTAAAGCCTGTTTTTCCACCACTGGAACTATATCTTAGGCAAATTTCTATATCAGCAAATAGAGATCTACTGCATCTTTTCTGCTTTTGTATTTGTAATAAACTTTTTATCGAAAAGTGCACAAATCAAAGTGGATAGCTAGATGAAGTATCACAAAGTGAACACACTCTGGTAGCCAGCACCCAGGTCAAGAAGTTGTCTTTTTGTTTCCTTTTCCAAACTTTATACTTTCGTTTCTTTTTCTTGCCTTATTACACGGGCCAGGACCTTTAGTACAGTATTGAAGACAAGAAGAGGCATCAGTCCTCCTTGTCTCATTCCCAATTTAGAGGGAAAGCTTTGAATATTTCACCATTAAATAAAATGTTTGCTGTCAATTTTTTGTAGATATTTTTTGTCATACTAACAAAGTTCCCTTCTATTCCTAGTTTACTAAGATTGTTTATCATGAGCAGGTTTTGAATTGTATCAAATGTTTTTCCACATTACTGAGGTGATTATATTATTTTTCTCCTTTTTCTTTTAACACAGTTAATTACATTGACTTGGTTTTGAGTGTTAACCTTGCATTGCTGGATTTGTCAAGAGATACCTCAATTTCCTCTCCAAAGTGGCAATTTTAACTTATATTCTCAGAAATGTATGAGAATATGTGTTTCTTAACCTCCCAGCCAACACTCGATGTTTTTGTGTTTTTTTTAACTTTTAAAAAAGTTTTATTTATTTATTTTTGGCTGCATTGGGTCTTCGTTGCTGTGTACGGGCTTTCTCTCTAGTTGGCAGTGAGCGGGGGCTACTCTTCATTGTGGCACGTGGGCTTCTCATTGCAGTGGCTTCTCTAGTTGCAGAGCACAGGCTCTAGGTGTGCAGGTTTCAGTAGTTGTGGCACGCGGGCTCAGTAGTTGTGACTCGCAGGCTCTAGAGAACAGGCTCAGTAGTTGTGGCTCACGGGCTTAGTTGCTCCGCGGCATGTGGGATCTTCCCAGACCAGGGCTTGAACCCGTGTCCCCTGCATTGGCAGGCGGATTCTTAACCACTGTGCCACCAGGGAAGCCCAACACTTGATGTTTTAAGACTTTAAAAAAATATGCCCAGTAGGTGAAACGGGAAAAACAAGTATCTCATTTTTGTTTTAATTAGAAGTTTCCAGACGCTGGTGAGGTTGAGCATCTTTTCATATACTTAGTGGACATTTGCATTTCCTCCTTTGTGGATTACATGTTCGTATTCTCTACCACATTTCTTTCCAATAGTTTCCCTTGGCTATTGATGTGTGAGTCCTTCATACGTGATGCAAATCTCTTCTTTTATTCTAACAAATTTTTAACTTGATTTCAGTCATATAAATTTAAAATTTTGAAGTCAAATTTGTCAACCTTCCTTTTCCTTTCTGTGTCTTGTTGAAGAATGTACTACTCCCTAACCCAAGTTCATAAAGATACTCTCCTGTTTTCTTCTAATAACTTTGTGGTTTTGTAGTTCACTTTTTTAAAATCCACATGGAATTCGTTTTTAGAAGTGCCATGAGGTGTCTTATTCATTTCATAGTCACTTGGTACCTTTTCATTGACTAGTCTTGACTCCATATGATTCTGAACCCATTTCAAAAATCAAGTCTATATCAAAGGAACATGGTTTAATATGCCAAAATAAAAGATTTTTAGTTAAGTAGGTGGAATTATGTGTTTTAGTGCTTTTTAAAAATATTTTTCGGGCTTCCCTGGTGGCGCAGTGGTTAAGAATCCGCCTGCCAATGCAGGGGACATGGGTTCGAGCCCTGGGCTGGGAAGATCCCACATGCCGCGGAGCAGCTAAGCATGTGCACCAGAACTACTTAGCCTGTGCTCTAGAGCCCGTGAGCCACAACTGCTGAAGCCCGTGCACCTAGAGCCCGTGCTCTGCAATAAGAGAAGCCACCGCAATGAGAAGCCCACGTGCAGCAACAAAGACCCAACTCAGCCAAAAATAAATAAAATTTTCTTTAATGTTGAGATTTTACACCACTTAGGATATTGAGGGAGAAATGCTATAGGCTCTGAAGAAAATTCCAGATATGAAGTTTCATAAATATTCTGCTGGAATTGCAGGAAAATGAATATTAATTTCTGATTTAGTCGAGATTCTTCAAATAACTTGAAATAGAACTTTAGTTCCAAACTAGTATAAGCAAATAAGTACTTCCTTGGCTCACCTAAGTGAAAATTCCAGGGCCGTCTTACTTTTGAGCATGGCTCGATCCAGCCTTCTGCATGAGCCAGGTAGACAAAAGAGCTTTAAACTGCCATCCTAGCTTAGAACCCCAAAGCAAAGAAGCAGGCTTTTTTGGTGCCTTAAGCAGAAGACTCCTGGGACAAGCTCTGATTAGGCGGGCTTGGGTCCCAAGTCCATTCCTGTTACATCAGCTGCCCAGGTGATGGGGAATATTGGCCAGGCCTGGGTCACATGCCAGATCGGAATGAGTGGTAGGTAGTTTGACGAGGCCCACCTAACTCATATAGGGCGGGATGCAGCTGGAAGAGGGATTCTGTCCCCAGAAGCAGGAGGATGGGGTGCCAGGCATATGACCACCAGGCATATGACCACCAGGCATACTCTTCTTTTTCTTTGGAGGAGATGGTGTCTTTTCTTAGGTACATACAGTCTTGGCTATTTGCCAGTCCATTGTGTCTCACTTTGCAATCTTGGTTCTTCAGACGTGTGTTATTGTGCAGTTTAAGGTACTGACCAACTGTACGGTGTTTTCAAGCCTTTAAGGAGGTGGGAGGATACCAGGAACTACAGCGTAAGTACATGGATGCTAAGCCCACCCTCATCTGTGAAGGAAACTGGACCGCCCAGCCGGAATGCTTCATTCCTCGTCTGGATTCTTTCCATATCTTCCGAGATCCCACCACTGGAGACATCCCCTGGCCTGGAGTCATCTTTGGCATCTCCACCCTCTCCTTGTACTACTGGTGCACTGACCAGGTAATCAAATGCGCTGCGCTGACGGGCCTGCGCTGGGGCCTGGGGGTTGGGGGTCTCTGCAGTCTCTGCAGCCACAGGCAGACTTCCCTCCCAGCCTTGTGTGATGCCCAAATGTAGTGCAGGACCACGTTCTGTCTGAAAGGGGTCTCTCGGGACTTCCCTGGTGGTCCAGTGATTAAGACTTCACCTTCCAATGCAGGGGGTGCGGCTTCGATCCCTGGTCAGGGCGCTAAGATCCCACATGCCTCACGACCAAAAAACCAAAACATAGAACAGAAGCAATATTGTAACAAGGTCAATAAAGACTTTAAAAATGGTGCACATCAAAAAAATCTTTAAAAAAATAAAAGGGGTTCCCCCTCCAGTCCTGTCTATAACAGAGCACTTGTTTTCATTTTTTCCTCCCTCTCATTATCTACAAAGCACAATGTTTGCACATGAAAAATATGTCAGTTCTCCCAAATTGAGTCTAGAAATTAAATACCACTAATCGGTATTTCAGTTGGATTTTTTAAGGACTCAAGCTTATTCTAAAAATTATATGGCTCTCTATCAATGGTTGTTAATGAAATAAACCGTGAAATATTCATACAGTGGAAGGCCAATATAGAAATAAAAAGGAAGTACAGCTACACACCATAGCATGGATGAATCTTTAAAGCATTATACCAAATAAAAGAATCTAAACACAGAAGACTAGGTGCTGTGTGATTACATTTATATAAAGCTTAACACAGGCAATGCTAAGTTATGTTGTTTAGGTATACACAATTACGTAGCAAAAAATTGTAAAGAAAAAGCAAGGAGGAAATAAAATAGTCATTAAAGCGATCATTTCTGAAGCAAGGGAGAGGGTTGAGGTTAAAAAGAGGCACATATAACGGTGTTGTTCACAATCATTAAAAAGTGGAAACAACCCAAATATCCACCAACGAATGAATGAATAAACAAAATGTGTATCCATGTGTTGGACTATTAGTCAGCCCTAAAAAGGAATGAAGTACAGATACATGCTACACCTTGGATGAACCTCGAAAACATGCTAGGTGAAAGAAGCCAGACACAGAAGGTCACCTATTGTATGATTCCTTTTATATGAAATATCCAGAACAGGCAAATCCATGGAGACAGAAATCCGATTAGTGCTTCCCAGGGGAGGAGGGATGGAGAGTGGCTGCTTCATGGGCCTGGGTGTTCTTCTGGGTGATGAAGAAGCTGTGATGCTGGAGAGAGGTGGATGTGATGCAACACTGGGGATGTACTAAATGGTACAGAATTGTTCACTTTAAAATGGTTAATTACATGTTATGTGAATTTCACCTCAATTGTTTGAAAGAGCCATAGAGAGAGGCTTCTGGGGTACCTCAATGTTGCTCCTCTTTTTTTAATTTTTTTTTAATTTTGTTCCACCACCATCAGTGAGTTTTTTCATACATTTCTAAATCAGTTAGATTCTTTGTTGCATTCTGTATGCCAGCCTTTGAGTGTTGCACCTCTTGACTTGGTGTTTCCATGGTGCGCTCTGTAATGTGCAACACCATGTTCGTGTGTTATAGCACAATAAAAAGTGTTTAAACCTTTTGTGGAAGGAGAAGATGCCACAAATAGCTAACCCAAGTTTGAAAATGAAGAACAAAGGGGGAGAACTTGCCCGACCAGATATTTAAACTTTGACAAAGTCGCGGTAATACAAGCAGTTTGAAATTCCCAGGAATAGACATATAGAAACAGAACAGAATAAAGAGCTCAGAGACAGACTCATGTACTTATAGGAATTTAATATGTGTTCAAGGAGGCTCCACAAAGCAACAGCAGAGATACATACTCTTCGATGTTGTTAAAAAAAAAAAAAAAGAAACCAAAACCTAGCTTACTATTTGGAATAACAAAGCTTCATCCCCACCTAACACTTACACAGAAGTGGACTTCAGATGAATTAAAGACTTAAACGTGGACAGTAAACCTGTACTACAATAAGGCGAGGTAATGCTAGTGAATACTTTTGAGTTGGGGGGAGTGTAAATCATATCGGTTTGATCACATTACACATAAGGCCTTTTTAACAAAGATGCTCTAGACAAAGTTGATGGATGACGGGCTAGAGAAGAATATCAGAATGTTTATAATGAACAGGAGACTAATAGCAAATCCACAAGAAAAAGGAGCTCCAATAGCCATGCAGGCAAAAGATAATGAGAGACAATTTGTAGAAAAGGAAATGCAAACAAACATAAATGTTAACAAGCATATAACCCAGCGTTATCAGGGAAGTGCAATTTAAAACCACAATGAGACTGGCAAAAATTAGAAAGCTTGATGATGTCAACTGTTGAGGAGGACACGGATGTTCAGGAATCCTCTTGCATTTCTGATGAGAGTGCAAGCGGGGCATGTTTTCTGGAGGGTGATCTGGCAATGCTGAATAAAGTCAAATATATTGTACTCTGTGACCAATTGGTGATGTTCCTCAGAAACTACCCAAAACTCCTCATCCAAGTTCATAAGGGACCATATGTGAGGCCTTGATCGCAGTGTTGATTGTGCTAGGTACTGAGGTGGGTGGATGAGATGAGGGTGGGGTGGGAGTGGGGGATACCACTGAGGGCTGCTGTGCATCCGTGAGAAGCCGTGGAGCCACCATACAAGGAGTGGCACTGATGGAGCTTTACCATGTGCTGAGCGGAGGACCAGGAAACAAGATGAGGCCCAGAGCCCAGCACGCGGGCGTGATCTGTAATGCAGCCACAGTGTTGTTATTTGTATTCTTCCCCTCTGCTTATTATGTGTGTAATTATGCTGCTTTATGTCAATGACAAGAGAAGTCTTCCTGTAAAAATTAGAAAACAGGGTGGAATCAAACCACCACAACCAAGAAGCCCTTCCATCAGAAATGATCAGTTAGACTTCAAACTCAAACTTCTGGAAATTATTCTTATTGAAATGTAAAACTGAGTAACTGTTAGAATAACAGATTAAACATAGCTGAAGGAAAAAAGTGGTAACCTAGAAGAGAGAACTGGAGAACTTGCCCAGAAAGCACAAAAATGGAAAGTGTGAAAGAGAGACAAAGTGACATGGAAGACAGCATTAAAATACGTCCTATTGGAGTTCCAGGAGAAAAGGGGAGAAGCAATATTTGAAGAGAAAGTGGCTGAGAATTTTTACAGCTGTTGAAAGAACAGGACTCATCAGATTCAGGAATCACAGTGAATCCCAAGCAAATCTACACAAAGTCACCTCCTGATGAAGTTTCAGAACATGAAAGCCGAAGAGGAGACTGAAAGCCACCTGAGAGAAAAGATCCCTTGTAGAAGAAGACAGGTACACCCCCAACAGACTGCTCAGCAGCAGCAGTGGAACCCAAGGGGGAGGAGTAAACTTTTCAAAGTACTGAGGAAAATGTCCAATTTCAGTTACGTGCCCAGCTAAGCACTACTCAATAGCAAGGGCAAAATAAAGGCATAGCCTTCCCTAGAGAATGAATGACGTGCACACAGAAAAAGGAGGTCCTGGGGAGCAGGAGGGACAGTTAGAGGAGCCGGCCGGCACATGTGCAGGTCTGAAGCATTGGCTGAAAATCACCATAATTCTGCACACAGGACAGAGCTAAAATATCGGACCATAATTAGAGTTAAATGTGTTTGTGGACCTTAAATTGTTCAGAAGGGCACAGATACTGATTTACTTTAGACCTGAAGTTGTATCCGTGTTAAAATTTTAAGGGTAATTATTAAAAGCATAGAAGTAGAATCTCTAACTTCCTAACTAGTAAAGAAAATGATTTAAGAAAAAATTTTAATTGAAAAAGAGACAAACTGACCAAAGGAAAATTGTTTTCCTTTGGCCCGCTACCATTTTTAAACAAGAATTCGTCCCTTGCCCCGCTTTGTAATATATGACAACCTATGAAAGTGCTTAGGGCTTTCTGCGTGGAATGATTTCATGCCCCTACGACTATCCTGTCCTCAGAATAAGAGTTGGCTTCTGGGGCTTCCCTGGTGGCGCAGTGGTTGAGCGTCTGCCTGCCGATGCAGGGGACACGGGTTCTTGCCCCGGTACGGGAGGATCCCACATGCCGCGGAGTGGCTGGGCCCGTGAGCCATGGCCGCTGAGCCTGCGCATCCGGAGCCTGTGCTCCGCAACGGGAGAGGCCATAACAGTGAGAGGCCCGTGTACCACCAAAAAAAAAAAAAGAGTTGGCTTCTGCTCTGGCCCTGTTCCTTCATCGCCTCCCTTAGAGACCATCTCTTCTGTGTGCAGAGCTAAGCAAAGACCAGGAAGTGCAGCCTGGCTGCCCACCTGCTCAGCAGAGACTCCCAGGCACCTAGAGGCTGTCAGCAGGATGCCCACAGGCCCACTGAGAAGCAATGCCTGCTTACATGAGGCAGGACCACCTTGGGGTTCTTCCTCCTATTAATAAATAATGCATTTGGGAAAGAAAGAAAGCATTAAAGAAGAACATGAAAATCCTACCTGTCAATCCTACCATCCCAGGATTAACCTCTATTGTCATGTTGGTTTATTTCTGTGGACTTTTTCTAGGTATAGAGTCGAGGTGTGTGTGCTATTGTATCCCGTGCCTTTTTGTTACTGTCACGCTATGAGCATTTTTCACATTATTTAAATATTCTTTGAGAATGTAATTTTAATGCATACAGAGTACTGCATTGTCTTGATGCACTGGACCATGTCTTTATGTTCTTTCTTAAGTGCTTCTCCATCTGCCCGCTACACCATTCTGCTCGGGCTGAGTGCACACCGCCTCTTACAGCAGGAGCACCGTGAAAGGGGGCATGAAGCATCTCCCAGGAGACTTTGCATGTTAAGGTCTACACTGGTTCATTTCCACTTGGACAAGTGAAGCTGGTCCCAGTTCTAAACACTCATTTGTTACCAGGGACCAAGCTGTGCTTGGATTGTTGTCACAAGGGCAGAGACGGTCTGTGGCCTCTAGAAGGGAGTCTCATCCTTGCCAGGGGACAGCTTGTAAGCACTGTGCTGCTGTGATTGGTGTGCAGTACTAGCAATGAGGCCAAGGTCAGGCCACCCTCCTCCCCTCTGGTAGCTGTGCACTGAGCAAAACGTGTGCATCGGTCACACATGCCTCCTCTGGCCCTGCATGCCCGGAGACACCAGGGTGATTGGGGTGAGCAGTGGGCACCCCCTCCGAGGGCACACCCTACTGCTACTGCAGGTCACAGTTGTCCTATCTGTGCCGAGGCAGCCTGGGCTTGATACCCTCTGAGAAAGCCCGCCCCCGCCCCCCCAACCTGTGTTTCCTCTGCAGATTTTTGTCCAGGGCTGCCTGGCAGGGAAGAGCATGTCTCATGTGAAAGGCGGCTGTGTCTTGTGTGGGTACCTGAAGCTGCTGCCCATGTTCAGCATAGTGATGCCACGGATGATCAGCCGCGTCCTGTACACAGGTAATTCTTGCTCTGCTGTGTTCACACTGATCTTCTTCTCCTCTCTCAGGCATCTACATCTAGGGAGCATGGGGTTATCAGGTCTTCTGCTGGGGAGACTGCTGGGGTTGAGGTGCCCCGGATTGCTTTCTTGGGAGATCATGGATTTAGATTAGGGATGTGGCTGAGCAGAAGTCTGGCAGGGACCGTGGATGTAGGTGGCAAGAGAGGAATTGGAGAGAGACGAGTTCAGGCGGAGATGAGCCAGCAGACGCTTCCTGCAGTGGCCGGTCTCTGCGTGGCGTTGAGGCGTGGTCCATGGGGAGGTCAGCTGTTCCCCCTGCACTGCAGGCACCGTCCTACGGGCACTCCTGGGTGCCAGGCATCGTGCTCGGATGTGACCAATGCTGTCACTGCTCTCACAGCCCCAGGTGTGGCACGTCGATGGAACCCCCAAAGTGGGTCTAGCCCTGAGGCCCACGTTCTTTCTGTTAAGTGCTGTGAGAATGTTCCTGCTGCACTTAATTGAACTGTCATAATTTCGTGGATGTCCCTCATCCCCGTTTCAGCCTTGTTTTACTGCCTTTAGGCGTACTGCCTCTCCGTACCAGATTTGTTTATTCATTAAACCTTTATGGAGCACATACTCAGGTGGTGCGGCCACATGGCCAAAGCAGGCGGCTTCCACGGAGTCTTCTGCCTCAGTGCTTGACAAGGCCAAGCAGAGAGTGAAGGCTTTTTATTATGGAGCCACGTGCAGTAGACGTCTCTAACCCTAATCCATCCTCAGTCTGCCTCTTTTTTAATCCTCATCCCTTTCCAGTTTCAACAGAGAGGAGCGCTCCGTTCCAACATCCCAGGTTTGGTCTTTGGCTGTCAGGCAGCCCTTTCTGGGGTCTCTTAGGTGGTGCCTCCTCGTAGGCTAGAAAATAGGCCTCTGTGCTCAATAGGACCCCAGAGTCGCCTGTGCTTGGCGGCCCTGCCTCCCCAGCCCCACTTCACCTCACAGCCCACCCCACCCACTGAGGAGGAAGGCTGGGCGAAACCGCCTGTCTCTTGGCCTCTAGAAGTGGCTGAGGGAGGAGCGAGAAGAGCGGGCCTCAGGAAGCCACACGCCCCCAGCTTCTGACCACCAGGTGAATAGAGTTGGTGGGCTGCCCTTGGGAGAGCCGTCAGGGTGGGGAGGGGCCCAGGACCACTTGTCCCCCATCCTCAGAAATGGCCAGACTCACAGACTGTTTATACACACTCATAGAGAGTGGTTTAGCACAAAAGCTCCCCACCTGCCCACATTCCTGGGAGAACACACCTTTCCAGTAACCCAAACGCTCCTGGTCCTAGATTCTGGGTCTCTCCCATGGCCAGAACCGGGGGCCAGACACCCGCACGGTGTGATTCTGCCAGTCAGGTTTTCCTTGGGGGCCACTGTATTAGTTGAGGCTCTTGAGTGAAAATGACGTGCACTTTTAGCTCCTCTTTCCTCCGAGCTGGTGTCCTCTCAGTCTGTCTGATGGCAGATGACCACCAGCAGCACCAGCCTTCCACCCTCCAGCCCAACGACCCCCAGAAAGAGTGTTTCCTTTTCGCCCTCCCAGCAGAAATCCCAGGGGAGTCCCGTGAGCTCACTTGGGTGACAGGGACCAGTCATTGTGGCCAAGGGGAAGGTGTTTCCAGAATGGCCAGGTGGCCCCTGGGCTCCTCCCAGACCATGCCGAAGGAGACTGAGGGCCTGCTCGCAGGGCAGGGGGAGGGAGAGCAGGCAGAGGAAAAGCTGCCCCCCTTAGTTTTCCTGACGTCCCCAGTGAAACCCCTTGCTCTCCATGTAAACCCAGGCCCTTCCTGCCTCTTCCTAGTCTACGTTGATTCATTGTTTTGGTTTTTTTCTCAGAGGGTAAATTTTTATCTGTTATTTAAGCTCTTGAAGGCCTATCACATTCCCTCCTTTACTTCCCTTTGTCCAAATTTCTTCCCAAATACTCTGAAATAACACCCCTACGGGGCTAAGGGAGTAAGGTCATGAGTGGGCCACTCATCAGTGTATGGATGAATCATCGTTTGCTTTCCTGACACCTGGCTGGGATCATTGAAAGCCTTGTTGAGGTCACAGGGCTTGCTGTGGGTCAAGCAGTGAACTGGCAGAAGCACCGACCCGCTGACTCCTGGGGCCTGACCCCCAGCTCCTGACGCACGTGTGGGGTCACGAATTGGAGACGAAGAATCTGCCATCCACACACCGTTCCTAATTTGCTTCCCGTTCCCTGAGCTCAGATTTTAGTGCTCAGGGGCCACATGCTGGTGTGACCCTTGTCTCTCTTTGCAGATAAAGTGGCGTGTGTTGTGCCTTCAGAGTGTGAAAAGTACTGTGGCGCCAGAACTGGCTGCAGCCCTCTCGCCTACCCCGTGCTGGTGGTGGAGCTGCTGCCCAGTGGTAAGAAGTGGAGCTGCCTCCAGGGCTGTGAGTGGACGGTCAGGAGTGAGGGCCCCGGTGGAAGCGTAGGCTGTGGGAGGGGCCCTCGGCATCCCGGGAGCCTTGCGGCCTCCTCTTCCTTTCTCTCTCTCTCTCTCTTTTTTCTCTCTCCGTCTCTTTCTCTTTCTCTTTCTCTCTCGGGCACGCGCTCAGGCCCAGCCTCTGCTCGCCCTTTGCATGGTCCCCTCCCTGCAGAACCCACGCCTCTGCTCCTCACTGCCGCAGATGGGCGCTCGGCGTTGTTCTAGTCTGTGGGGACGAAGAGGGGAGCAAGTCCTCACCCTGCTCTCAAGGAGTTCAGTCCAGTGGGACAGGCAGGGACATGGCTTTCGTCTCACCCACTTCGCCACATCCCAGGGAAACGGGCAAACCAACAGTACAGTCTCTTTAAATTCCGTATTAGCTCTGAGGATAAATAGGCTAGCAATGTTGAGATATTCCCATAAAATACAATGTAGATAGACCTCAGCTGAGGGAAGCACCAACCATCCCCCAGTTCAGGAAGGGGGTTGCCCAGCACCCGGGGCCGCAGCCCAGGGCAGTGGGGCACTTGAAGCCAGGCCAATCCAAGAACTCTAGTCTTGGCCTGGCCTGAGTACCTGCTGAATACAGCGGGGCCTTCTGTGCCAGCCCTGTTACCCTCGGGCTCTCCCAGCTATGCATGGGAATCTCTCAGCAAAGCCGCTGCCGCCCAGTGGCCTTGCAGGTCAGAAGCCTAGACTGTTACGTTTACAGGTAACACTTGTTGAGAGCTTGCTCTGTGTTGGACATTGTGTTAACCCATCTTCTTACTGTATCGTAATCTTAACAACAGTCTGTGCAGTAGGTACTTTAATACCCACCTTACAGATGGGGACACTGAGGCACAAGGAGCCACATCATCTGTAAAAGGGGTCAGCACTGGTGTCCTTCTCACAAGGCTGTAGGGAGATCATCAGGCTGATGCCTGAAGAGGTGCTCCAGCTCAGAGTGAGCACTCATGTTATTATATGAAGACAGCGGCCAGCTAGCAAGGCTCGTCACAGAGCAAGGGCAGCTATAATGCACTTGATCTATCTTAGATGGACTCCCACTCCAAACAAAATTTACTACGTGGGAATGTTCCTCAGGAGGCCTAAGGCGTCTCCTGGCACGGCCAGAGAGCTGGAGGCCCAGGAAGTGTTCTTTTTCTTCCAGGTGTTCGAGGCTTGATGGTGTCCGCATTCTGGGCCTCTCTCATGTCCTCCCTGACTTCTCTTTTCAGCGGTGCCAGTGCCGTGTTCACAATGGACATCTACGCCCAGATACAGCTGATGGCCACTGAAAATGAACTCATGCTAACAGGAAGGTGAAGGATTCCTCTAATCACATGAGTTACTGCCATCAATGAATCGATGCCCACAAATGTCATTATGTGAAAATGTAGGCTCTAATGCTGCGTATAGAGTTATCTTGTTTATATACAGCATGGTGGTGTTTTGTTTGTTGCAGTTTTGCAGTGAAGATGTATTGCTTTTATTTTATTTATTTTTTTTATAAATTTATTTATTTTTGGCTGCGTTGGGTCTTCGTTGCTACGCATGGGCTTTCTCTAGTTGTGGCGAGCAGGGGCTACTCTTCATTGCGGTGCGCAGGCTTCTCATTGTGGTGCGCAGGCTTCTCATTGTGGTGGCTTCTCTTGTTGTGGAGCACAGACTCTAGGTGCGCGGGCTCAGTAGTTGTGGCTCACGGGTTCTAGAGCACAGGCTCCGTAGTTGTGGCACGTGAGCTTAGTTGCTCCACGGCATGTGGGATCTTCCTGGACCAGGGTTTGAACCCATGTCCCCTTCACTGGCAGGCAGATTCTTAACCACTGTGCCACCAGGGAAGTCCTGTATTGCTTTTATAATCACAAAGAAAATTGTTCCCATTTGGGAAAAAATTAAGTAATAATCACAATGATAACAGGTACATATTAATGTACCCCCCAAACTAGTCCTTGTGAGGAAGTGTATCTACATTATCTCGTTTTCTCTTTCAGTCCTCATGACAACCTTTAAAGGTAAGTTTTAGTTCTTATTCTCACTGTACAAATGGGGGGAGTGGCTCAGAGAAGGTAGTTGGTCTACCTGAGTCACATGGAAAGCGGATCTCATCCATCTCAGGGCCATGCCATTAACCAGGAGGCCTCACATGCTAGGCATAAGGCAGGGGATATGAATGTGTAAACACGTGGGCCTCATCCTCATTCTGTAGGGTTTCACACTGGCTGTCCGTGGACCACTTCCAGCCCACACACTTTGAACTTGGCCTACGTTACGCCTCAGATGCCTCCTTCATCCGGTAGCAAGGTACATACTGCTCACTGTCTTATCTGTCTAACCCCTGCAAATTGAGTTTGCTGTTACATTTTGATTAGCATTCCATTGTTTAAAAAGCACTTTTCTGAGAAACTTTAAGAAATAGGTACCGGTTTTATTTAAATTTTTATAGAACATAGGGGAAAAAGAGGAAGACTTAAATTCATTTCATAAAGCTCAGGATATTGATGCCAAAACTGAACAAATACAGCACAGGAAAAAATTAAAACTAAAGACTCATCTCACTTTTAAATACCAATGCAAAACTTGTAAATAAAATATTAGACACAAATCCAACAATATACTAAAATAATGTTAAAAGAATGACATCTCATTACCAACTGTGATTGTTTTCCAGAAATACAAGGATGGTTCAATATTAGGAAATGTAGTAACATTACTCACCATATTAATAGATCAAAGAGAAAAATCATATATATCTATTCAGACGATGAAAAGGTATTTGGTAAAATGGGTACCTTTCAACATGACAAAACATATCTGTATCACCCTAAAAGCCAAGTCATGCCTAATGGAACTAGAAAGGAACAAGGCAAGAATGTCCTCCCTTACCGATATATTTATACTAATATATGTGTAAAATAAAATGTATATATAAGTAGACCTAAATAGATATTTCTCCAAAGAAGATATACAGATTGCCAACAAACACATGGAAGGATGCTCAACATCACTAATCATTAGAGAAATGCAAATCAAAACTACAATGAGGTATCACCTCACACCGGTCAGAATGGCCATCATCAAAAAATCCACAAACAATAAATGATGGAGAGGGTGTGGAGAAAAGGGAACCCTCTTGCACTGTTGGTGGGAATGGAAATTGATACAGCCACTATGGAAAACAATATGGAGGTTCCTTAAAAAACTAAAAATAGAACTACCATATGACCCAGCAATCCCACTGCTGGGCATATACACTGAGAAAACTATAATTCAAAAACGGATGTGTACCACAATGTTCATTGCAGCACTATTTAAATAGCCAGGGTATGGAAGCAACCTAAGTGTCCATGAACAGATGAATGGATGAAGAATATGTGGCACATATATATACAATGGAATATTATTCAGCCATAAAAAGAAACAAAACTGAGTTATTTGTAGTGAGGTGGATGGACCTAGAGTCTGTCATACAGAGTGAAGTAAGTCAGACAGAAAGAAAAAAGCAAATACCATATGCTAACACATATATATGGAATCTTTAAAAAAAATGGTTCTGATTAACCTAGCGGCAGGACAGGAATAAAGACGCAGACGTAGAGAATGAACTTGAGGACACGGGGTGAGGGAAGGGTGAGCTGGGACGAAGTGAGAGAGTAGCACTGACATATATACACTACCAAACGTAAATAGATAGCTAGTGGGAAGCAGCCGCATAGCACAGGGAGATCAGCCCGGTGCTTTGTGACCACCTAGAGGGGTGGGATAGGGAGGGTAGGAGGGAGGTGCAAGAGGGAGGGGATATGGGGACATATGTATACATATAGCTGATTCACTTTGTTATACAGCAGAAACTAACTCAACATTGTAAAGCAATTATACTCCAATAAAGATGCTAAAAAAAAAAAAGTAGACCCACAGGTGAAGTTAGCAGACAAGGACTTTGAAATAACCTTGATTAATAGGTACAAGAAAATAGAGGGAAAGGTTTATAAAATAGATGAAAAGAATTGGGAAATTTTCCGGAGAATTAGAATTTATAAAAATAAGAAGGTCTAGAATTGAAAAATAAATATCTGAAATTAAGAACTCAATGGATTTGTTAGCAACTGATTGGCTGTAGCAGAAGACACTGTTAGTGGCTTGGAAATGAATTAGTCAACAATATCCAAACTAAAGCACACAGGAGAAAAGGAAGATACACGTGGAACACAGAAGAATAATATATATGTAATTGGAAATTATATATATATATATATATATATATGTATATATATATATGTAACTGTAGAAGCAATTTGGAGAAGATAATGGCCAAGAATGTTCCAAATATCTGGACAACTATCCAGAGATTCAAGAAATTCCACAAATCGCAGGCAGGATAAATACAAAGGAGACCATACCCAGGCCACATGATAGTGAAACTGCTGGAGACTGGAGATAGAGAAGATCTTTAGAGCAGCCAGAAGAAAGTAAATCACATCACCTTCAAAAGAGCAGCAGAGAGACTGATAGTAGAAGTTTCAACAGAAACCGTAAAAGCCAGGAGGCAGTGGAGTGACATCTTCAAGTGCTAGAAAAACTGCCTACCTGGAATTCAATACCCATCGAAATAGCCTCCAGAGTGAAGGTGAAACAAACAGGTTTTCAGATAAATGCAGGTTGAGAGAATTTATTACAAAAGAATTTCACGATAAGAAATACTAAAGTATGTTCTTTAGGCTGCAGGAAAATTATCCAGATGGAAGAATTGACCTTCAGAGAAGGATGAAGAGCACCAGAAAGGGTAAGTATGTGGGAAATAGAAGTGAGTGAGTGTTGACGTAAATAAGAAAGACTGTCTATGGGATTAACAACATATGGAGGCAAAACATATGCCAGTAAAATCCCAGAGAGAATGAGAAGGGGCTAAATGGAGCTTAAGTATTCTCACGTTCTCTTGCTATTCGGGACGTGGTAAAAGTCAAAACTTGTACCAGACTGTGATATGTCAAGGATGCATGTAGTCTCTAGACTAAACAATATAAGAACAGTTCAAGAACGTTTAACAAGTTAATAAAAGTAAAATATGGGATAACTAATAAGTCAAAAGAATAAAAAGAACGTGAAAGGTAGGTTAACTGGAAAACAATAGGATAGCTCCTAAATATATCAGTCATTTCATGAAACAGAGATAGGTAGACTAAGTAGCTGAGTTAAAAGGTGAAGATTATCAGAGCTTTTTTTTTTAACCAACTGTAATCTACGTAGAAGAGACACCTTCTTTCTTTTCCAGTTTTGTTGGGATAACATTGACATATAACATTGTCTAAGTTTCAGGTGTACAATAATGATTCAATATATGTGTATATTGTGAAATGATCACCACAAGTTTAGTTGATATCTATCACCTCACATAATTATTTTTTTTCTTGTGAAAAGAACTTTTAAGATTTACTCTCTTAAAAAAAAAAAAAAGATTTACTCTCTAAGCAACTTTCAAATATACAACATACAAATACACAATCCTGTGTTGTTAACTACAGGCACCATGCTGTACCTTATGTCCCCAGAACCTATTTATCTTATGACTGGAAGTTTGTACCTTTTGGCCACCTTCACCCATTCCCCCCACACCCATCCCCAGTCTGCTCTCTGTTTCTATGAATTCAGGGTTTTTTTAGATTCTACATATAAATGAGACCATACAATACTTGTCTTTCTCTGTCAGACTTATTTCACTTAGTATAATGCCCTAAAGATTGTCACAAAAGGGAGGATTTTTCTTTTTTGTGGCCGAACGATATTCCATTGTGTATATGTACCACATCTTCTTTATCCATTCATCTGTTAATGAACACTTTGGTTGTTTCTATGTCTTGGCTATTATAAATAGTGTAAAGGGTGTAGAGGTCTCTTCAAGATAGTGATCCTTGTTTCCTTTGGATATGTACCCAGAAGTGGAATTGCTGGATCATGTGGTAGTTCTGTTTTCAGTTTCTTGAGGAACCGTAACACCGTTTTCCACAGTGGCCACACCAGTGTACACTCCCACCAACAGTGCACAAGGGTTCCCTTTTCTCCACATCCTCACCAGCACTTGTTATCTTTTGTCTTTTTGATAATAGCCATTCTAACAGGTATGAAATGGTATCTTATTGTGATTTTGATTTGCATTTCCCTGATCAGTGATGTTGAGCACCTTTTCATGTACCTATTGGCCATTTGAATATCTTCTTTGGAAAAATGTCTATCAGGTCCTTTGTCCATTTTAAAAATTCTATTATTATTATTATGTTGTTGTTGTTATTAAAGTTGTCTGAGTTCCTTAGACAACTAAGGAACT